ATAAGATGGTGAAGCTAGGTCCAATTGTTTTGGTTTTTCCACAGTCAGCCTCTCTTGTTTTGTTTTAGTAAGTGTTTTACGGCACTTGCAACAACACAATAAGGTCAAGAGCCGAAGATTAGAGGTGTTACAAGAGAGTAACAAACACAAAAAAGAAGGAAGGGAGATAAAGACAATAGATGTTTGATAGGAAAGAAGAAGCAAACCACACCAGAGCATCCGCCAACCACCCACCTAGCCTCTCTAAAAATCTAATGTGAGTCAGTCACACATGGGATGTCTGATTTCTCACTTTTATTTTTATGTCAGAAGACTAAACCCTCGACTCTGGCTTCCTTTGGAATCAAGTAAAAAAATTCTCCCCAATTGCCAACTGCATGAAGCCTGACTTGAAGCAGGTAATTCAGCATTAGGAGAGATATCTCATTCCCTGGGCAATGGAGCTCACATAAAGCGTACAAACTTTCAACTAAATGTCTCACATATCTGAGAATGGAACGAAAAAGCAAGCATACAAAAGAAACAGAAAATGATAATTTCGTTTCGAGAAATGCTCTTACGTTCTGAAAGATAAAAAGTACATAAAAAGACTACAAACAATATTTTCAAAATGTAAAAATCGGCCTTTGAAATACCCGTTTTTACAGAAAAAATTGAGTATGATGTTAAATATCTATTAAAAAAACAAGTGAAAGTTAATATTGAAGAGTATTATTTACAAAGAGCTACATAGACTATACATGAACAAAATCATCAGCATGACACATGGGTACCCATAATCCTCTAATAAAGGGGAAATGCAGTAGAATCCAGTTGCTAAAACATATGTGTAAGACACTGGCATTAACTTATAATATACTCGAAGGTATCGAATAAGCGCCCCCCCCCCCCCCTCCTTATTCCATACCCCCCCGTTTATTATTTTCCAGTTTGCCATGACCAACGATCATGTGAAACATTATGTATTATAGAATCTAGATATCTGTATGACGAAACTTCTTTTTTTTTTGTTAATGGCAAATTACCCTCAGTATTAGTACCAGTACCGCTTATTCCATACCCCCCGTTTATTATTTTCCAGTTTGCCATGACCAACGATCATGTGAAACATTATGTATTATAGAATCTAGATATCTGTATGACGAAACTTCTTTTTTTTTTGTTAATGGCAAATTACCCTCAGTATTAGTACCAGTACCGGGTTGGCTACCTCAATTTTCGGAGCATTTTAAAAGTATGACTTAATGCAGTTGCGAGCGCCGTAAAACACTTACCGAAAAAAAAAACAACCAAAAAACTTTTGTACATTGGTTTACATTTTTAAAATAAATTAAACTAGTTTGTTCCTAAGTGGGAAAAGTTGTCACAGCAACTTACTAAAATTTCATGATCTCTTGCTCTTTTATTCACTGAAGGAGAAATAAAACAGAATTGTTCCTACTAGAACAGGTACAGGGGTATGAGGTTGAATGTAACCCCTTGTTTATTGATTTTGTACCACTTGTCCACTCACCCCATTTATTCCAACCCCCCCCGTTTATTCGATACCTTAGAGTACAGAACGCCACTTCAGCTGGTTCATGGCATTGCTTGGCTGTTTACAACCATAATACCATAATAAAAAAGACCCAAGCCAATTTTTGTTTTTTTATTATCAAACTTGTATATTAATATTACATTCTGGACCATTTATTTCTACTCAGTTTGGTATCTATCGTATTTCATAGGGTTGGAGTTATACGAAAGTCTGTGATACTGTAAACTTGGAGGACAAAATTGGTTTCCGGCAAAGGATATAGCATTCCGTATTCCGGTACTAGCTAGGCCAGGCAACAGAGGAGATGGCCCGAGTCTGAACCCCCAATGGGATATTCTTCAACTTCAGACCTTTTTGGAGTTTTCAAAGGGGATCAAAAACTGGAGATGGGTCTCATTTAAATATTGAGAAATGCCAAAGCGTCTCAAACAGCTTCTCCCAATCCAGCCAAGCGTACCTGCCCCTGGTGGTCCCTGTCCTCACTGACACGGCTCTGGCGAACGGCGAGTTGTTGACGCCAACAAACCAACCCCCCCTTTCCTAGAGGGGTTAAAACAACAGGATGGGAGCAGGTGTGGCCCCACAAAGTGCAGGAGGCAGAACCCACCGATGCGTGGTAGACACTATGCCCCTCACTAACACACCCCTACTCTCCCTTGAGTGGTGTTTAATCTACCTAACACCTCTACTGCTTTTTATCAACACACCCTCTGTGGCTGAGAAGGAACCAGCCAGTTTGAGAGTGTCTGGGAGCAGGGGATGGATCAAGCGGAATGCTCAACTAGCCTTGGACCTCTTAGTAAAGGCACAACGACCCAGGACGTGACGATCCAATGGCTTTCCCACTTGGCAGATACCTCTTGAAAGAGTAGAAAACTTTAGCCAGTAGCCATTGGTGGCGGGGAATGGGCAACGTGAACCCTACCGGAATTACACGGTCACAGGGCAGTTAGGTCTTTCCAGTCTCATGAAAACCCCTTGTACCCTCCTACCCTCAACATGAATGGCCTCTTCTCAGGGTGGGCAGGCCGTCCACAGACACCCCAGTCCAGTGGAGTTTTCAAGGCTCTCCACCCACTTGTCTCTGCCTTATCTGAGAGAAAGGTTCCATCCTTTACTAACCTAATAATCTTGAAAAGGAGCATCAAGCCCATACAATAATTACAGGGGAAAGCAGAAGCTTGTGGCTTTATATGGGGGCACAAAGTGCATCTATAATAAAAGTTGTCACAAAGATGCTAGAATATAGATATGTACAGAATACAGAGAAGACGTTAAAAGCATCACAACTGTGACTTCACAGGAAGGCAGATCTGCCGCCTTATAACAAAAACCCCCACTATATATGTGTAATTAGGTCAAGTAGCATTTTTACACCGAAGAGAAAGCCCTTTTTATGGCGTGTCTTTCTATTTTGGTTTTATGGTTGTACAGTTAAGATTAAGGAAGTTTTTGGGTCTTGAAAATATGTGTTGTGACCCAATTACATATATTGATATTATTATGACAAAAGAAACGTTAATAAATTACTCCATAGCTATGTAGTGGATACCTCAGCAAATCAGCCAAAAGTTAGATTGACCAATGAATATTGACATAAAATAATCAGACTGACGAAATTTTAGTTAATTTGAAACACACACAAAAAGTTAGTCTTTTGCCTCTCTTGTAAAATTTCCTTTTTGTATACATGAACAAAGAGGGGAAATGAAATCTCAGGGATTTGAAATCCTTTTGTGTTCACAGCATTGATTAGTCTTGAACGCCTTTGTGTTCAACAAAGTATTCTATTAATAGTTCCAGGGATTTTCAGTTACTAATAGTAAAGAGATTTTCAGTTACTAATAGTAATGAAAAGTCAATGGAACAGTAACACCACATATATTTAGGAAGCACAGTGTATGGTTCGATAAGAATAAACATGGCAGCAGACATAAAATTTGGAATTTAAAAAAAAAGTATTACTCACTTCAGCACAATCAATTCTTTCACACACATGCATACACACAAATCTGCGTTGTGAAAGTAATTTATCAACATTGAAAGAGAAAAGCTCAAATGGCTAACAATTTGAACTGTGGCAAGCAAATGGGTGTCCCACACTTGGAAAAGACAAAACATTGTTCCAGTCAACACAACACAGAAATTTTAATAGCACAGGCCAGCTAAAACATTCCACATTTGGCAAAGCACATCTATCCACTTCCCTTTCTGTTATAAGACCACAGTAACTAATCAGTCATATTTAAAAAGCAATGTCACATAAATAGGAATTGAAACAAACCCCACTCCCACCCCTTCCCCAGCCACAACAACATGCAAATTCTTGCAGATCATTTTGTACAACAAGAGCAAGAAATAGAATTATGTTCTGTAGTTGTTCAGATGGCACTAAGCTTTTTCAAAGAAAATAAACACACAAGTCAGAGACCAATGTAAACATCTACATAGCAGCATTGGAACTTTACCATTTCTAAAGGGAAAATTTAAACATCAAGCAGGAAAAGGTATTATAAATGAATATTTTCCCACATCACATTAATGAGGAGAGCGTAATGTTTTTCCCCTTACGATAAATTTAATTCAAATCTCAAATTCACAACTTTAAGACTTGAAAGCATTGGAATGTAAAACAAAATGTGCCGCATACCACAAAGTTAGGAAAGGAAAGTAGGCTAAGCATCACATTATATTCATCACAGCTTCACATGGATTAAAGTCCACAACAGGCACGGCCATGCTGAAAAATTCTCAAAAACATATGGCTGTAATTTCTGTACATACGTCCATGTTTCGGCATTCTCGTATTTGGTCACATAGATGAGTAGCAGCATGGGAAAAACCTTTCAAACCCGTTAGTATATTTTTGTGACATCATTAAAGCTTATTTCTACATCCTGCTGTATTTCCTGAGCAATATTTTACCATTTATGTCATTGCCTTTACCAGAATTTCTGATATTCACGTATAAACATTCAAAAGATTAGAAATTGAGAAAATATGAATAAATTTATTGATTCTATTTTAAGAAAAAACAAAAACAAATCTGAATATGAAAACATTCCTCAGAGCCTGTGCATCACATTCATTTCAAGATGATAATAAAATCATTTCCTTTTTAGCCTGTATAAATTTTTGTCACACTCGTTTCATCCCCGCTGTAAGAGTGTTTTCAATCATGCATACATGAAAAAATATCTCCCACAGCGTCCAATAGGTTTTTCTCACGCTGTCATATATTTGTCAAGACAAGTACAAGAATTTTTTTCAGTCTTACAATATCATATGCAAGGCATCATGGTGTAATCAGATGCTCGTCAAAATAAAAAAATCGAAGAAACTGGCATTTTTTCACTGATTTAGCAATTCGAATCAAATTTTTGTTTTTTGGCTCAACTCCTTTTAGGTCCATTTAAAAACACATTTCTGTGAGGACTTTTACAGAAAGACATTGATTAAAGGCTTTAAAAATTCAAATTTTTAAGTTGCCAAGGACTCTCAAGCTATGGATGTCACCAAACTTCGGCAGCCTTTTTCTTGCTAATTTTACCTCTGGCACTGGTAACTCCCTGCTTCATCAATTACAAATGTCTCGACTTCTATTCAAGAAAGATGGGCATTTTATACATCAAAGACAAGACAAAATGAACAAGCTTAACTTAACCCGTACGTCGTGTTTTACTATCCCCAAACGACTTGGGGAACTCTGTGCCACCACTTTCCAAAGAGGAAATTTACTCATTAATTTGATCCGTACGCTTTGCATAGCAGTCTGTCAAAATGATTTTTTGAGATATACTGAAAGTTTCAAAGAGATCTTCGCACTTGAAGTATTCTAAAATGTGAAGAATATAACCCCAGGGGGATAAAATGACCCAAGGGCATACAGATAAGGTTAAAGATGATGCCAATAATTCTACATGCCAAAATATTAACAAGTGCTTGATTCCACCACAGTGTGACACATATGTCTCCTCATCTAAACTCAGTTGCCATGTCATACATATGTCCTCGTGAATGCTACAGAACTGGCTCATACAGACATCCGGGTATGTACTCTACTGCTGGGTCATACATAGTCCAGTTTGCACCCAAGAGTTGGGACATACATATAACATACAGAATCTGATATGACCTCTAGAGCTGTACACATACATCCTGACAAGTATGTAAGAGGCTGGCCATACATAAACATGTCCTCACTATACTCTTGTGTTGGATCACACGTTTCCCAGTTTAATCTCAACTGCCAGTCATACATGTGCGCTGGTCAGCATTCCAGTACTCGGTCATACATATGGTCTCTTCATCTGCATTGCTTAGTGCAAAACTCCATTGTCAATACATGTCACTTTCCAAAATGGCGTAAGGCAGAGTCTTACACAAAGCAGTCCATCTGTACTCTATAATGGGTTCTATACTTGCCCTGATCTGACCTCAATAGCTGCGTCATCTACGAGCAGATTCCTTGCCCTCTGTAGTTTCCACTTTATGGGCCCGGGTTGTGGACTCTGCAAGAAGAAAAAGAAAGAAAAGCAACAGTTGGTTTGAATTCGAGTTGAAGAGAAAAAAATATGATAATACTGAAGGAAAACAAATACACACATACATAAGCATATACCCATACGATCATCATGTTGGCTTCATTCGTGTTATAGAGCACAATTTAAGAAAGAGCTGACAGTAGTGACAGGGAGCTGATCCCACAAAGATGATGAAAAAAACATACATCAGCGTTCTGAGATTTGTTGACTGAGAGATGAAACAATTCGAGTTCAAATACATACAACTTTAAGTTACACTGGATTCTACGACTTATGGGTAGATTCACAGGAAGTTAGCGGCACCGTGTTGTCTGTCAAAATTGCATGTCGCTTTTACCCTTTCCTGCTCACATTCTTCGTCAACAATTGGTCATCCATTTGCTCAAAAACTTCCAGTGAACATGCAATTAAAGAGAATAAAAAGTAAATTCTGACTGCTGACAATGATACATTCCTCACTAGAAATGAAAATAAAATAAAGTAACAGCTTAATGTCACTGCTCTACTTCCATAACAGCTATACTCACCATTGAGAGAATTCTCTAGGAGAGACAAGATGCATGCCTAGCTGGACTAAGCTCTGGTGTGGCTTTCTCATTTTTTTTTTCATTGGCTGCGTTGAAGAGGAAAGTGTTAAGCTAAATGAGAAGAGGCAAAAATGTTGAACCCACCTCTGCCAAGCCCCATCCAGCGGTCTGGCACCTGCAGGAAATATCTGTCCATGGCCTCCAGGAAGCGTCCCTTGTAGAGCTGAGGTGAGACTACTGTGGGCATTTTCCCCTGACCGCCCAGGATGCCTGTAGACTTGACCACCATCTCGAGCTTCTTGTCCCATGTAAACGTGCGGATGTAGTCTGCAAAAGGTGAATAGAGAAATTCTTTACAGTCAGGCACAGATAGCACAAACATGGAAAACTAGAAACCACGAATAGCGTGTACAATCAGCCATTTCCATACTGATATCTCTTTCATTTTTCTAAATTAGTTAATATGAATTAAGGAATTTATTTCCGGAATCAGCGGAGCAAAATAAGCAAAATTGTAAGCAATGAGCCTGATTTGATGCTATATCTAAATTTAAACATAATTTTATTTTTAATCGGTTGTTAATTTTGAGCAAGATATCATGTATCAAGGTCACCTTGTGCTTTGTGCTGTGCACCTGACTTTACAGTTTCGACACACTGCAAAGTAACTAGGTCTTTAGTTCCAAGGGCACACCACCCACTATGCTAAACACTTGCCAGAGCCAACACCACTTGGTGTCGACACCTTCCCAGTACCGGTACTGGAGGTCTGGTGCCAGTACTGACATCACCTACAGTAGTGGGTACCTGCCCAGCCCCATACACACACACACACAGAGCTTTTTTCATTCTTGTAAACATACACACACACGCATACACACAAACAGGGCCTCCTCACCTATAATGCCCACCACCAACTCGTGTGTGTCGTCATCAATGCCCACGAGGAGTGAGTAGTCCATAACCAAATTGCTGGACAGAAAACTGGAGTCACTTGTGATGGCAGACTTCAGCACAGACTTGCTGTGAGGTCGTAAGTATAGGGGACTCTCCACACTGCCTATTGGAGAAATAGAAGGTCAAATAGAATTAAAGCTCATATATCACTCTTAATCTAATCATAGTAATGCATTTTTCTTTCAGCTGCAGAGACAAACCATTGAGCATAATTTTCTTTCATTTTTCATGGATGGCATTGCGGGGAAATCAGGCGCACGTCAAAATAATGAAATCAAAGAAACCGCCATTTTTCCGCTTGTTGGCCACGCTTCATCAATTTGTAGTACGCTGGGCTCAACATCTTTTAGCTCCGGGTAGAAACACACTTCTTTCCAGAAAATTATAACTCAGAAGTGATGCACACACACTCTCTCTCTCTCACACATACACACACATAAATACACAAAATTCTTCTTTTAACAGCAACCCATCCATAGACACAAGGATATGGATACACACTAATCAGTAACAAAACCACTCACAACTTCATCAGCAAATTATGACACAGACACACACACACACACACACTACCAGGAAGGTGACCACTCACTTTTCAGTAAGTTCTCATCCAAAAGGACCAGCTCCTCCTCTGCCCGCTTGCTGGCAGTATTCACCAGCCTGTTTCGCATTGAGCCTTTCAAGTCAAATTTCTGTCATGAGACAACAATGAAAAATACTGAACAACGAGAAAGACACTTTGCAATAGTTCTTTTATCATCCTACGACATGCAGTACGTGTCATTTTGAGCCTTTCAAGTAAAATTTCTTTCCCTCCAAAAGAAGTACAAATATGAAAGACTACAATTAGGGCACTTTGCTTGTGTTTTATATTGTCTTGGAACACACAGTGTGGGTCATTTTGAGCCTTTCAGGTTAAATTTCATTTACAAAACAAAAAGAAAACAAAACACAAAACAGCTTGTTGCTTTCATATTCACTTTTATATCATCACTGCAGGATTCTAAATAGCAAACTCGGTTCCTTAAAATTTCCTTAAAACTAAAAACCAAAGCTATTAATATTATACACAATTTAGCTGTTTGGAATCCAACATTGTAGTGACCATTTGAGTACATTAGTCTGGCTGAAAGCTATTTATAAGATGTGTTGTGTGATGTCAGTCAGAATTCAGGAAAAGAAAAAAACAATGTATCTTTAGAGTAAGCTGCTTAGAATCCGGCAGTGACGATATTTAACATCTCATTGCACACAATGAGTCAATGTAGGTATTTTGAGTCTTCAAGTCAAATCCCTGTTACAAGGCAATGTAAGAAGACTGTCAAATTGCGACAACAATACTGCGATTTTGTTTTCTACAACATTATTCAATATCATAATGATGTATCAAGTCCCCTTTAACTGGAAAAAAGAAACATTAACTTTGAATAGAAATCAGTCAATAAAGGAAAAAAAACAATACACATAAAAGACAAAAAAAAGTATTCAAAAATGTGAGTGGTGATGTTAAACAAGGAAGACTTTACTTATTAAACAAACTCTTTTTCCTTACCTGAGTGATCTTCCTGCTGTAGAACAGGTTCTCCATTACAAGCACGTCCTGCCTCAGGGCATGGTTGGTCTGAGAGTTGCGGAAACCAATTCTAAACACTCCCAGTATCTTTGCCAAAGCTGTGGGTTGCTGTAAATTTATGAAAACAGAGTCTTAGAGAAGTACTTGGCAACAAACAGTCATGGTTGGGATTTTTGGCTCTTTTTCTTCTGCAAATGATACATCTGTAAACAAACATCACAGATCATGGTTCATCAAATATTTCTCTACTGGGATGTTCTCAACGGTCATGAAACAACAGTGTGCAATGTCAGCTTGCCTGACCGGTTGCCATGCCGCCAGAAGGGCGAAAATACCTTGGATAATGTGTACGTAGTGTACTCATGACTAGGTCACCACATTAATTAATGAATTTAATTCTTCCACTGAGCTCTAAAGCACAAACTAAACATACTTTTACTGACTTCATCTTCACAACTTCTAGCTAAGGTTAGTAACTTTTGCTCTGCTCGTATGTGACAAGTCTCCCATTTAATACATCAGTATAATATTGTATCGAACAAAAGAGTAGTGCGACCCCTGCTCAGCATTGTTTCAGTTATCTAGCTTACTTTGAAAATTACGGTCCATTAGTAAATGACATTTTAAGACTGTGCCTTGTAAAATCTATAATATTTAAAGTAGGTTTTTTAGACTGCTGCTCCCTCAACGTGACATTTCCCCCATTGCATTTAAGAGGGGCGTCTTTTTGACAGCATTTAAATCTGATCTAAAACCAAATCTACTTTAAATTCCTGTTTCAACAACAAGTGTGACCAGTAGCCACAATGATTATCTGTTTGTGTACGAATTCTCCTATCATATTATGGGTGAATATGTCTTTGAAATGGCTGTATGGGCCAGTATGCACGGAATGCTAATTTAAATCTTATTTTATAGTGAAGCACTAGGGCGCTAGAGAAGATATCTTTCCTATTATCATAATATAATGTAAAAAGAGACTCCACCCTAAAAAAAAAATTAATTTAAAAAAGGAGAATAAATAAAATTGAATTCAGCAAAAAATTTTTTCTCCCATAAAAAACCCAACTGCATTTCAATTACACACATGTAGTTTAAAACTTTTCTAGACAAACAATTCCCATCCTGCCCCTGCCCTTCCCCAACCTTCACATCTTTTTTTCTCATCTACACACAAAAAAATGTTCTCCATATAAGGAGAAAAGAAACAAAACCTAATTCAATATCAGTATCAAACCACAAGCTTTTGTATGGTAGCCAGAATGGAAACCAGTCACATCAAGGTGATCAGCCCTAACAATCCTACCTGGTCTGCTAAACAATTCTTGATATACTGGAAATACTGAGGTCCAAACTTCTCAAATGATTCCACCTCCATGTTGGACATTTGTTTGAGGATGAAACGATCATCTGAATAGGAAAGAAAATACAGAAAAAAAAATAGATCGGTTATTGCATCATTGTTAATCCAGTAAACCTTTCAAGTGCGTAGCCATCTGCCCAATGCCATGTTAGAAAAGGCAGAGGTTGGTTTTCAAAACTTGTTCTTTGCTGCAGCAGGTACTGCCTGTGGTAGGGATGGCAGGAGGAAGTTGCTTTTGTGGATTCTCTAGTCTGTGACATTCAAAGAGCAGATGTTGGACTGTTTCATAGACATCGTCATGAAGCAAGCACATCGGTGGTTTTTCCTGATAGATTTTATTTAGGGGATAGTTTACAGGAATATGCTGTATTGTTACCTCTTATAGAGAGCTTTTATGCTGTCAATTTGGCTTATATTTCTTATGTGATTGTAAACTGGTCTGCCAGTCAGACCTCTTGTCCATTGCTTTATTCATACCTCTTTGTAGTTTTCCATGATGAACATTTTTGTAGTTTTGAGTTGTGTTACTCAAGTGGTTTTTGGTAGGTATGATCTTATTTTGACTAGTCAGTCTGCTTTGTCAATGGCGTAAATTGTGTCCTATTTCAAATGTTAACATAAGGGTTTAACACCTATGTTAACACTGAAAGGTCATAAGGAGGCAAGACCTCTTAACTAAAAGTAAGCTCATCCCAGACAGGATAAAGCAAGCCGATAGAGAGTCCCGAACACTCCAAAAACAACCGTAGTGGGTAGTCGGTGGGGGTCGATGTGGTTTGCTCCTTCTTTCCTATCAAGCATCTTTTGTTGTCATCTCTCCCTGTTCCCTTTGATCTTCAGCACTTATATGACCTAATTGTGTTACAAGTGCCTTAAAACTCTTACTAAAACAACAAAACAAACAACCCATGTATTGAAAAAATCTCTGGATGGGGATTCAAACCAGAGCCATCAACATAGGAGTCAAGCATAATAAAATCAACAAAGTGAACGAAAACTAAAAAGTCTTGCACCTTATCCATGCATAAAATGAGACGGCCTGTATCAGTAGAATTCAAAGCATGACCTCAGTTATCACAGCCATAATAATATAAAATATCTTGCGAATTCGAAGAAAATAAATTCTGAATCTCAAACAAAAAAATAATTGAAAGAAATGAAATTAACACACTCCTACAATCAAGTTCTCTCGCTCATTCTCTCTCTCGTCTTCCCTCCCTCAACTACTCTCTCTCTCTCAGACAAAAAATAACTCACAACATTTAAGAATATCACAAAAGAGAAAAAAATCAAGTAAAAGTAAGTGTATTCTCCCTACCACCAATTTCTACTCACCAACAGTTTTGCTGAAAGACGATCCTGATTTGCCTCCTTTGGCCTCCCATGCCTTGCAACGGCTGAGAGATCTGATAAACAAATTGTCACTGCCAGGAAATATCAACTTCCGCAGCTTGCGGAACTGGTCGGCAAAGTAGACGCGACAGTAGAACTTGGCAGTGGCATCTGTGAACTGCAGCTCTATGTGAGGCGACGGACCATTGTTCCCACTGCCTGTTCCTTTTCCTTTCTCGTCAGGGTACAGTATTGAATCATCCATGATCTCCATGTTTTCTACACTCTCTGGGGAGAGAATGATCAACATGGAATCACTGTCGTGCTGTTGTTAGGATGCAGTTCACAGATAAACAACAATGGCCACATTTCAAAGAGAAAACAAATTTTACCAAAAAGAAAAAAAGTATTTACAAGATTTTATGTTCCCATTAACACAATTTAGATCATTTAGGAGGCAAGCTTCCAGCCTGCCCTTTAGGACCAACCTGGGTTGGAAGAGAAACAACATTCCAGCAGAAAGACTTGAGATATTCGATAAAATTTCTCCTCACTCAGGAATCTAACTCAAGTGTGACTGCAAAGTGCAATACTACTACATCACAGATGCTAGTGGAAGAAATTTGATATCAGGACTGAAGAGAAAAAAGTCAAGAAGCAGACCCTGAGAGGGTATTCACTGACCACCAGCAAGACTGATTTATCTAGGTCTAAGACAAACACAACAAATGACCATATACATTATTCTCTGTCTGAGAACTTTCTCATCCAAAACTAAAGAAAAAGCAACCTCCATCAGTTCTTACAGGAATATGATTTTTAGGTTGATTTCAAGGGGTACCACTCATCTCTTATGAGTTAGTTACTTGGTAACTCCCCCCCCCCACCCCTGTTTATTCCCCCATTGAAAATAAAACAACTAAAAACCATTAAGCCACTGTCCAAACTACTATGTCAAAGCTCATGTGTAGGCTAGACATCCTGGGTTACAGCGCATGCACAACACAGCACTGCTTTTGCAACTGTACCAGTTAATTCAACCCTTGAAACCACGTTTGCAGGCAGAACTATATCTTTAGAAAATGTTCTTAGAAATGTCACTGTAAACAGAAACAAAGTCAGTCACACACACAGTAAAAGCAAGTTCTTAGGCAGACTCGGCATTATTATAGACAGAGACTACTGTACTATGGTATTGCAGGCTTGCCAACTTAAAAAAAAACCCAGTCACTGACATACAACGCTATGACAGCAGATTATGTAACAACTGACAAAAATCACATCAAGCGGGACAGGTTATGAAGCAGCGTAATAACGTTTTAATATTCCCTCAAGTTCCTCCAATTGCCAAATCCGGAACAGTCCCCAGGAAATTCAGGAGAGTTGGCAAGCCTGGTATAGATGAGCTACCTGAGGCACTGACAGCTTCCCCTCGTTCCGAGGCTGGGACATAGCGGACAGCCTCCACAGTCGGGCTTAAGCCAGGAAACTGCTGCTGGGGGTTCACCTCTCGCGAGCTGCCTCGGAGGAAGGACAGCACGCCTCCACCAGATTTTTTGCCTGGAGTTTTAGTAAGCGTTTTACGGCACTTGCAACACAAGTCAATTAAGGGCCTATGATTAGATAGAGGTGTTATAAGAGAGTGACAAACACAAAAAAAAAAAAAGAAGGAGATTTAAGGATGATAGACGTTTGATAGGAAAGAAGGAGGCAAACCACACCAGAGCACCCTTCAACCACCCACTTGTCTAGGGGTGAAGAGTCGATTCTTACCATACTGTACGACTTGCAGGATAAGATATTTTACGATTAATTGTGCTTATTTTAAATCTTTACTAGTGGAAAACCTCATGGATAACATTTAACTGATACAAAAACTTCATCAGAAAAATGGTAAGAGAAGACAAGTTTTCAGGTCTCCAGTTCGTTCAGCAACACACAGCCAAAGGTGCACACGCCTAGCAAGGATTTCAAATTTACCACCTTGAAGCGATGTGCAAGATCTTGAGTTCACAAGAGTATTTAGCCCCTGTGAGTACTAACTTGGGTAGTTTTTAGATGCCTGAGTACTCACTCAAATCTAAAACCTCTGAGTACTCGAGTAATTACTTGAGTACTTTTTTTCTTTTTTCACCTAGTGGAGGCTTTTAGTCGAAACAAATATTCCGCAAGTTACATCGTTTTTGTTTGTTGCTCCGCTGTACTCTTTTTCTTTGCACACTTTTCAAACCTTCTCAGTAATCAAAACATTTTTGGTTGTTGTTTTTACAGAACATTTCTTTTTCTACTTTAACGACTTTGTTATATTTAGGTAATTAATAGGTAAAACTCTAGTTTGGGCATGGGCAAAAAATACAATGAGCCTGTGCTCAGGATTCAGGTACTAAAGTACTCATTCAATTAGCTCCAAATTACTCAAGCTCGGACTCAAGTCCACGAATACTGGACTAGCACACCTGCACTACCCAACCCACAAAATGTATGCCCACCTACAAGGTCAAAGGCTGGGCATGGAAAATCTGGATTGTTGGCGATGAGACTAAAGTCTTTCCAATTTGTCTCCTACTTTTAGCCCCCCCCCCCCCCCCCCCCAAAAAAAAAACCCCAAACCAAAACCCCAAAACTAAACAAAAAAATACCCCATTTACAAACATATATTACATACATTAGAAAGCTATCATAAGGCATCTCTCTCCCCAAGTCCCATACCTTTATCAATATTAACATGTTTTGAGAAGAGAATAACATAACAAAACAAGTTATCAAATAATCATGCTAGACGAATAAAGAGACAAAAGCAGGTACTTTGAAATGGTCGCTTTTAAGGACAAGCGGGCTAACCCAGATTTCGGGGGTTTCCAGAAACCTTGACCTACACCAAAAGTGACCATTACCCTACCTATAGGAGAAGTATGGGGTTTCATTTGTGTGTATATTTGTTTGGTTATAGAGAAAACTCTCTTTGTCTTTTAAAGAAACTGAACAAGGGGCAAAAACTTTTCCTTCGATTTTCTCAAAACAGCATTTTTCAATTTAACCCCATTGTGTTTAAAAGCGACCAAATGAACGGCAAGCACCTTACCTTTCGACTAGCAAACTAGAATGTTAAACCCAAATTCTCCTTTTAAATAAAAACCACATCCTCCTTATGTAGGGAGGGAGAGAAAATGAGCTGTATTGAGTTGTTGTTATCGATCCAGTAGCTGTATTGAGAAACTGCTATGCATGCATGTTTTTGTTTTGCAGAACTTGGTGAAAGCACACTGTCACTTTCATCCAAAGGATATCAATAAAAGGGATCTCATTTTACCTCCTTTTTACGTTCATATCACTAAAAGCCTAGGTGATACACAGTTGAAATTGGCTAAGACAGCCACAAATTGTCAAGGAGAAAAATACAGTTTCATTTAAAAGTTTAAAAAACCAACAAAACACCACGGGGGAAATGAGTGGCCATTTGTACCGGCGATTGTCTTATACAAGTGGTGGTTAGAGCAGGTTCGACTGAGTTTGATATCTACTACAAGCCTGCCTAATGCTCGAGGCACTTTAAGGAAGTATTGGCCCAACCTTGGACAGAGAGCTGCAAAGCTCTATGGGGGTCGGGAGGACCAACAGCGAACATCAGCCTTTACAGAGGGAGGAGGAGGAGGAGGAGGAGGAGGAGGAGGAGGAGGAGGAGGAGGAGGAGGAGAATAAGAAGAAGAAGAAGAAGAAGAAGAAGAAGAAGAAGAAGAAGAAGAAGAAGAAGAAGAAGAAGAAGAAGAAGAAGAAGAAGAAGAAGAAGAAGAAGAAGAAGAAGAAGAAGAAGAAGAAGAAGAAGAAGAAGAAGAAAAAGTAAAAGAAGAAGAAGAAAAAGAAAGTATTTAATCACACCTGTTTCAGAGGAAGGATCTCCATTGGCCCCTAGCGGCACAGACGAGTCTCCCAGTTTGCTCCCTCCTTTGTGAGACTGGGAAAATGCAGAGCTGGGATCTGCAGAGCCAGGCCGTGACAATGTTTGGATTTCCCTCAGCCGGTACAAGTAGTCAGAGGAACTGGGAAAACAAAATACAGAACCTACCTACAGTAAGGTGCGGTGAAGGAGCAGTTAATGCACTCGTCTCCGAAGCGGAAAGTCCAGGTTGGAGCCCCGGTTCGGACACTGATTTTTTTCGCCCCCTCCTGCCCACCCAGCAGTAATGGGAACCTGACTTCGAGTTGGGGAAGTAAAGGCGACATGGAAAGGAATTGGCCACCCTACCACAATATGCTGAAGGCCCAGGAAGTTGTCTAACTAACAAGGCAATTCCTAATGTCCGGATGGGTTGCGGGAACAACTTTACTTTTTTTACCTAAAGTTAAATCATGTGAGCTTTAACTTTGGGAGGGAACAGGACCATAGAAAACATCACACAACTCATTTAGCACAGAAATTAACTCCCCTCACATTTTGGGTAATTTTGTTGTGGTAACATTTAATTATCCCTAGTCAGGAAAATTATCATAAACAAAAACTACCTGCCTTAATTGCCCAAGGCTGTCAGCTATGCTACCTGAGAAAAAAATATAGTTATCCTTTTGACTGACTGTGCCTTTCCACAGAGGCTAGTACATAGAAAAGACTTACCTCAAAGCATAAGCAATGATAGAGCTTGGCTCGTTGTCATTGACAGCTATGGGCACGCGCTCACACAAGGGTAGAGTGTGGTGCTCATTCAGGTCAAAGGGCTGGGCCAGAGGGGCAAAGGTCGACGTCCATAAAAATCGACGGGTGAAACCTTTCAAGTCGTGAAACAGACCGTCCGGAGTGTCTTCAAGGCCTGGGTGGAGAGAGTATTTAAATTTTTTGTTTTTTTTGTTTTTTAGTTTTAGTATAGGTTTTGCGGCGCTCGCAATTCCATAAGTTCATATGAGCGCCAGAAGATTAGAGGTGTTACAAGAGAGAAACAAACATAAAAAAGATGAAGGGGAGATAAGGACGATAGATGTTTGATAGGAAAAAAGGAGCAAACCACACCAGAGCACCCGCCAACCACCCACTAATTTTGGTTTACATGAAAGAAAAGTAGAAGGAAGAGAGGTGGAAAAAAATAGATACAAGAAATTGCAGAAGACAACTTCCACTTACAGAAAAGCATATTCACATACACTCAATTTGTTCAGGGGAAGAAGCAAGACAGAAAGAAAAGAGAAAAAACAACAAGTTACCCCTATCAGCAATGCCCTCCAACCATTTGTAGTTCAGTTCGTCACCGAATTAGCAAAACGGCAAAACTCAGAGTTGAGCCAAAATGGAACTAGCCTTTTATTTTTATGTTAAGTGGTTATGTCCAGGAACTATTTAATAAGAATAAGAAGCTTCAATTATATTACTTCATAGAATGCTCAACATGATTTAACAACAAATTTATTGTTTACAGCTGACATATGCTTGCCATAAAGAATCAGCAATATGTAACATCTTTGATTAGACATTGCCCTGTGGCAAAAATATCCACCACTTTAGACAACCCACATAACATACTTCTACGACCTGAGTTGCAGTAAATGTTGAGCAATCGAACAAATTCATTGCAGCCTGAGAAGCAAGGCTACAACTATAGTGAAACAATTTTTTCCCCCAAAAAGAGGTAATTTTTGCAAATTTGCCAACTTCAGATGGATCAGGGGAAATTACAAGTTCCGACTAAATCGTAAACTGAAAATGTATTGGGTTTTTATGAAAATGAGGGAAAGAGGTGTGCAAAATTTACAACACACAAGACAAGATAGGCTAAGATTTTGATCCCTAAAATCAACAAGAGATACATTTTCTCTCTGCTGCTAAAAGTGACCCATGAAACTCAAAGTAAAAATATTATGTGAGAAAGTTTCAGATTCGGTTTCTGCTATCCACAAGAGAAATTTTTCTCAGTGCTGCTGAGAGAAGGACACTAGAAACAAACATAAAACTCTAAGTACAAACATGAGTGCCTGATGAGTCACAACGCAGTGGAATCAGGCGCTCATCAATATTGGGGCATGTGGGATTATTGGTATCATCTTAAAACATGTTCATTTATCTTGCTTTTGATTAAAAAAAAATACCCATCTATCTTGAGCAGAAGTGAAGATATTTGCGATTGAAAGAGATAAGGTTGCTTGGTTTCAGCAATAAAAATAGCGAAAAAAACGGCCGCCACAGTTAGGTAACTCCAATAGCTAAAGAGTCCTAGAAAACTGAAAAATTACATATTTTGATTTTAAATCAACATTTTTCAATAAAATTAACACGGAAATGGGTTTTCATTTGAACATAAAAGGGTTGAACAAAGAAACAAAAATTTGATAAAATTGCATAACTGGTGGGAAAATGCCCGTTTCTTCAATTTTGTGATTTTGACGATTTCACCAAGATGACTCACATATAGTATGTCATGAAACTAAAATTAAAAACATAACACAATTAAATGGAAGTATATAATATCACTGTGGTGTTCTAAATATCAAGATTCAGATAACTATCCTGAAACTACACTAAACGTGGAGAATTTCAGTCTTTAAAAAGGAAGTGAATCGTTACTAGAAAAAAAGTAAGTGTATGGTCTACCAACTAAACAACTAACCTGATCATAAGCGTGTGTTAATATCAGCTGCATAAAGTTATACTAATCAGATGGCATCAATTTGTTAGAATCAAGCAAGGGAAAAAAAACAACAAAACAAAACAAAACAAAACAAAAATAACACCCTATAAAACATAACACAGCATGTCACACATGGGTCAAAGCCTCACCTTCTATAGCCGATGGCGTCACAATAAACGGTGAAGCCGAGGAGAGAGTCGACACATTGGTCAACAGTGGTGGGGGGATGTTGACGTTCAGTTCTGAGGCTGGGGTGGAAGACGCCGAGGGCGGGAGTGGGGAGGATGTCCCAGAGGAGGAGCTGGAGGCGGCCGTCGACAACATTCCATCATTTCCTGTGCTGGGCTCTGCTTTGGTTGTTGGGTTTGGGGTTGTTGAAGCACTAGCCGTGTCCCAATCTGTGGGGTACGAGTTCAAACTGGTGTAACTTCCACAGCGAATTTTTGTTTTGTTTTGTTCTGCAGTGTGCTTTTGAGCAATGCAACAAGAAGTACAGAATAAAGTCCAGACTTTCATCAACAGATGTATGAGGAGTATTCTAAGAATTAAGTGGCAGGATAGAATAAGAAATGAAGAGCTGTGGCAAAGGACAGGACAAAAGGATATAGAAGTAGAAATAGGACTAAGAAAGCCCAACGGAAACATCACAAGACAGTCACTGCAGTGGAACCCACAAGGAGCACGAGGCAGGGGTAGGCAAAGGGAAACATGGAGGAGATGCGTGGAAAGGGCCATGAGAGAGATGAAGCTCACTTGGAACGAGCTTGGAAGGATGGCTCAGGACAGAGATAAATGGAAGGAGCTTGTATGTGGCATATACCCTGCCAGGGGTGAAAGGCATTGGTGATGAATAAGGAGATTGTCACAGAGAATAAGTGATTGACTCTTACAAGTTGCAGACCTATTCTCTGTTTAGATGCAACAAGTTTAGTTGAAAATAAGCACACAGTAGCATTTTCGTCAAGACAGGTCTCAAGCAGTAAGCTTGTATTACCCACCAACATGTTCAGAAAAGAATGACAATTTAATATAAAATTATGTGAGGATACAGTAGGTCACTTGTAGTACAGCAAGCAGATATCATAGATAAATGAAGAAAACAAGAAAAAACATTAACGCAGTATCTACTCAGTAGGCGTGCCAACTCTTAAGCGTTAAACAAATATCAGGTAGAAATTTTCAGACAAGTATACTCGTAGGAACATAAGACATCACAAGCGTAAAGGAAAATCACGCTGTTAAAAACTCAGTAACAGCCAGGCTTGGTTATGTTCTCATGAAAGACATGACAAGAATGCTGGTTACAACACAATTTAGGGCCAAAAAGTTTGACAAGGTTAAAAAAATAATTGTCTCAGTAACCAATCATATAAGTCCTCCGCAACTCAAAGTTTTGTTCTTTTGAAAGACATAATGAATTGATTACAACAACAAAAATCTGGTGCCAAAAAAATGCTTTATTACAAAGTTTTCAGAAATCTTCTTAGTAATCACAATTCTTAGTTCTCACAAGCTCTAAGTTTGCTTTGTAGACATGAAATAAGATGTGCTGCAAATCCACTCAAGTGTATGATCTGACCAAAGTTATCCTAAGAGAAGTATCAAATCTTGACCATTCTTGAACTTGAAGCATTTATTGCACTTCAGCTACAAGGTTCATTGAAATAAGCTCAAAAACATTATAAAAAGAGTTGCTTCAATAATTCAGATATCATTTAATATGCTCATCATATTAGGAAGGAAGGAAGGAAGGAAGGAAGGAAGGAAGGAAGGAAGGAAGGAAGGAAGGAAGGAAGGAAGGAAGGAAGGAAGGAAGAAAATGAGGGAAGGAAGGAAGGAGGAAAGAAGGAGGGAAGGAAGGAAGGAAAACTGGCATCTGAGGTGTAGCGCTTAGGCCATTCGCCATCGCACACAGGGGACCAGAGTTCATTTCCCTAGTACGGAGAATTTTCATCAAGCATCTCGGCGTTAGTGCCTGGATGTTGTCCCTGTCTCAGCTCATGCTGGCACTGAAAGGCAGGGAGGAGCCAGGGCTGCCTACCTCAGACTTTTCATTTCAGGTAAATTCATGGTCTGTTTTCGGTATTTTAACCCAAAATCAGACAGTACAAAGACAAAGAAGGGAAAAAAAGATTGTCGTTGCCCCAGTAGTTACCATCGAGGGAAGCAATATGCTGTTCGTGATATTAGTTAATTATATTTTGAAAACGTGTGTGCATGCACACTGCGAGTGTTTGAGTGTGTGTGTGTGTGTGTGTATGAGAGAGCGTGTGTGTGTGTGTGAGAGCGTGTGTGTGCCTGTGTGTGTGCTTGTGTGAGTGTGTGAGAGAGAGAAAGAGAGAGAGGGGGGGAGAGTGAGTGAGAAAGTGAGAGAGAGAGATAGAGAGCCTTGACGATAGAGATAGAGTTTAATTACCCGGTGTAAGGTCTAATTTTCCTCCATTTTTAGGTTTGAATGTCGGATGTCACAACTTGGGAAAACAACTTCGAATTATTCTGGATTTTAGTAGTTTTAGTTTTAGCATAGATCTAAATTTCTTTCATTGCAACCCTTATCATGTTCCTGTAGAATCATCGGCCTGACAATTTTTATTTCTCTGTATTTAGAAAAATTTACAAAACTTTCTTTCTGATAGAGATTTTCTTTCTAAAATCGAAAGTCAATTTACTTGATCAATGCGCACATTTTCCAGCCGCGACAACAATTCAAAGACAGACAGAAAAAATGAGTGAATGAAAGAAAAGAGGAAATTTGCACAAAAAGTTCACGATCATGCCTCGACAGATTTTGACCAATCTGCACGTTAAAATGTACTGCCGACCAACCCGCAATGAATACAATATTATAAAGGCCGATTGCAGGAAATGCGCAATCTGGCAGGTTTCTATTTACTTTTGTCGTGAGAATTACTGAAAATATCAGAAACTTAGAGAATACAAGATGATACGAAAGCGAGTACGGATCCTTTGCTACGGAATTTCAGTAGCCATACTGCACCTTTTTATGGATACAGTTTATAATGATGGGAGAGCAAGTACAGTGTGGTGTGTGTGAGTGTGTGTGTGTGTGTGTGTGTGTGTGTGTGTGTGTGTGTGTGTGTGTGTGTGTGGGTGTGAGTGTGAGTGTGCGTGTGTGTAAGTGTGGGTGTGTGAGTGTGTGTGTGAGAGAGTGTGTGTGTGTGTGTGTGTGCGTGTGTGTGGTTGGGGGGAGGGCGGGGGGGAGCGCACGCCCTCGCGCATGTTTACCTATGTGGGGAGGGGAAGGGGCTGTTTTTTGTGTACATACGTGAAGGTGAACAGTGTTTATGAAACGAGACGAATTTTTAAATGCATTAATGGACTGTCGTTTGAGGCACCTATTCAATCAGTATTGACTTTGAATGTGGAATTGAGGGTAGACAATGGCATACCCATGGAGCACTGACAAGTCCTGAGTGAGTTAGGTATGACAGACATTTTAAACTGCTTTCCTCTTAAAATAAAGACGAATAAATTCTGACCTGAGCCTGTGGAAAGGCCACATCAAAAACTGCATAAACCATATTTGAGTTTCAACATTCACAGATTTTAAAAATCATGCAAGACAAATCTTATTTACAAAAAAACATTATAGTTAGGCTCACGGCAGAGCAAAAGGCGACATTAGAAGAGAGAATGTACTGAGAGCCGGAGCTGGAATGACTGTGAGAGCTTGGGATGTTTTGATGTAGAAAATCTGGCAATCACTGAATCATGGACTAAATATTGATGTTTCCAATTGCTAAATCACATAACCAGTTTTAATCAGTAAAAAGCTATCATGAGGCATGGGCATCCAATATAGGGGCACTATGCCGCACAGCGCTCTAATCATAAAATTTAGTGTCCAGACCTTATCCTCCAGCATCGTGTCAGGCACTTCAAGTTCAAATGCATTTAAAAAAGATGTGTTTCTTTTTTAGTCTGAGCAAGTTTCAGTGGGGGATCAGGGGCTATGTCCTGGAATAAACTGAAATTTAGAGCTTTCCAAGGATTGCAAATGGCATTCTCCATTGCCATTATTCATTTTGTCATCGCACCATTGACAGTAGGCAAATCTGTGAAATCTTATCTTGACTATACAATCACCATGCCTGTACTTTAATTTTCCTTCATTTACCACTCGATTGTAGAAAGTCCAAACCTCAGAGTTTTGTTATGTTTTATTTTAGCATCAGTTTCTTGCACCCCAGCCTTATCCTGCGGCTGTAAAATCCTCATGTCGGTACTGACCACTTCTCTAGATCTAGACAGATTTGCTAAAGTTTTGCTCTGATACAAATTTTCGTTCAACATTCACAATTCAGTTTTCGTAATAAACGCACAGATTTTCAAGACGCAATAAAAACCCGAAGATAGACAGAAAGCATGAATGAAAGGAAGGAGAAAGATTACCAGATTTTAGCCGATTTGCATGTGAAAATCTATTGCCGACCGAATTGCACAGAGGGAAAATGGTCGATTGTGAAAAATGCGCAACCTGGCAAAACCTACAACTTATGGCTGAGAATTACCGTAAATGTCCGAGAAGTTACAGATGCAAGTACAGATCCTATGCTACGGAATGCTGATAGGCTAATAGATCTACCGTCTCTCTCTTTTTCTTTAACGCATGGAGTTGATAAATGATGATCAAGGAGGTTACACAGTAAGGGCCTTTATGATGATGCGGCAAATATGGGACTTTCGAAATATATACGGATTTTCACAAAAACTGGGAAGATTGGAAACACTGCATAACAGGCTTTTTTTTTCTTCTTTTACTCTAAGTGCCCATCGCAAATCGGGTAGTTTTGACCCCTTTGTCAGTATGGCGGTAGAACAGGCCCAAAATCGGTAACCACCGGGAAAATCGGTAGATTTAGGCAGCCCTGTTGAGCCCAGCTCCTAAATGAGCTAAATTATACCAATGGGGGCATAGAACATATACATTTTTAAAAAAAAGGTCAGAAAGAAGGAGTGAGTTAAAAAAAGAAAGTGCACGGTTAACATACCCTTGAGGCTGTTCTCTACCCCCTGCACGCTGGCTCCTCCATCAGCTAAGGAGGCCCCGGCACTGCCCACAAGGCTAGCTGGAGTGAGGGAGGCAGGCTGTGCCGATCCTGTTGTCCCTGAAGGAGAGGCGTTTCTGTGGCTGGGCACAGGGGAACCTTGGGCGGAAGAGCCATGGCTCAGACTGTTGCCTCCACCAGAGTGAGAGGAGTGCAGTAACGGCTTCAGGGAATTTTTGTCGCTACCAGCCCTCCAGGACTTTTCCAGCTGAAGAGATAAAACATATGTGGTACAAACGGGGTGGAATCAGGCTCTCGTCAATTTTTGGGCAAATGGAGTTGATGGTACCATCATAAGGCCTGTCCATTTTCCTTATTTTGGGTGAAAATAATATCCATCTATGTTTAGAAGTCGAGATATGTGTGATTGAAGGAGGTGAGGGTCATCTGATTTCAGAGGTAAAATTAGCAAGAAAATGGCCGCCAAAGTTGAGTTATTTCTTTAGCTTGAGAGTACGTGGAAACTGAAAATTTACATTTCTTCAGCCTTTAATTAACGTTTTTCAGTAAAATCCAAACAAAAATGTGCTCTTTAAGGGGCATGAAAGGTGTTGAACCAAAAAACAAAAATTCGATAAAAATTCCCAAACTTGCGGGAAAATGCAAGTGTCTTGACTTTCATTATTTTGACGAGCGCCTGACTCCACAGCGTGGCGACACATATTGCATGGCACGTGATCAGAAGCCAAAACAAGGATCAATACATCAACTGTCAAGACTCTGTCAAACATCACTTTTCAAAGTGGCATCTTCCTGAGTCTTACACTAAGAAGTCAATATATAGTACAAGATGAGGAGGGTGGTGAGCGTGTGTGTGTGTGTGTATGTGGGTGTGTGTGTGTATGTGAGAAAGAGTGTGAGAGAGAGAGAGAGTGAGAGAGAGAGTGAGAGAGAGAGAGAGAGAAGGAGGGGGGGGGAGAGTGACAGAGAGATGGACAAACAGACTGACAGATAGAGACAGACACAGAGACAGAACACAGCAGGCAGAGAAACTGTTAACTCTCACCTCATCTGTTACAACAGCTGCACTAGAGTCCTTATCCTTCTTGTTGGATGTTTGGGTCCGTGACTTCTTCTGCTGATGGGCCATGAATTCTTGCATTCTGAGAGGAGAGGAGAAAACAGCACGTTATAAAAATACAGGTACAAAATATAGTTGAATCTGTATAAGACAATCATCTCTACAAATGTCCAATTTTCATTTCCTCCAATGCAATTTTTGTGACCACTTGTCTCAAACAACCACTTTCCTCCCTGACAACGGGTGGACGTCTCTTGACATTTTTGACTGCGGTTTGTTTTCATAGAAATCAGTGCCTCTTGGGCGGACTGAAAAGGAACAGCAGAGAAAACAGTGAGTGATCTAAATAATAATATGATAAAAATAACTGAGCCAAAAAACAAAAATTCAATAAACATTGCCAAATCGACGAAAAAATGCTGGTTTCTTTAATTAATTTAATTATTTTGAATAACGCCTGATTTCACCACGCTGCTTCACATTTGGAATCAGGTAATCACCTCATGTTCCACTTGTTGACATCCTCACAGATGTGCCGTTTCAGAAGCTGAATGTTGTCAAAAATGGAGTACAGATGGAAGGTCATGTCCAGGTCTGAAGAGAGAGAGAGAGAGAGAGAATAAAAACCACACACATGTAGCAAAGATAAGAAAGCAGATAGTGACTTTACTCTACTAGTTCTCAACATAATTTTAAAAGTTTTTTTTAAAAAGGAACCGCGAAAAAACTCCCAAAAAAACACTTACACACTTATATCTCACATTCTTAAATATTGCCTTTACTCTACTTGTTCTCAACATAATTAAAAATGTGAACACCCCTACCCCCGAAAAACAAACTCTCACACACTTATATCTCACATTCTCAAATAAAAAACAAAACAGTAAAGCAGGCACTGGGTGCCATGAGGGTTAGAGTCTCAGTGAGCCTGGGATGCATCACATATTTCACATACAAAACAGATTTCTACAATTTAAAAATAACTGCAACATTGAACTAACTTTTAAAACACTTGTCGACAAACACCACCCGAATCTGTCACTGAGCTATGGTAACACATAAGTGACATAAGTGATAAAAAACGCAACACCTTGGCAAAAACATGCATGTGAGAAAACGCGTGAGCCGCACAAACACTAAACTTTGATGTCAAGTAAGGGCAGAAAAAACATTGCCCTGGGAGGGGCTTCAACTGGTCTTGTTTGTTTGTTTAGTATAGGGTTTTACGGCGCTCGCAACTGCATAAGGTCATATGAGCGCGCGGGACACACCTAATACTTTTTCGTTGGTAGGAAATTTTGAATTTTGCCCGGGTGGCGGCCGAAGCCTACTCTTATCGATTTTAGACCACCAAGGGATCTTTAACGTGCGCAACTTGCACACGAGCCCTCCGAGATTTTTCGCCCTTGTCCGAGAAGGCTAGGTGTAGATCTTTCCTAGCAGAAGATCAGGGGTGTGGCAGAAAGACAGCAGTAAGGAGGAGCCAAGGAGTAGCAGTAGAAAGGCTGCAGAAAGAGTCAGGAGCCCACAGGAGGGGGCAAAGGAGGTGAGGGGGTGGGGGTAGAAAGTGGAAATGAAAGCAGACAACAGAACATTGTTAGAGATCAGGAAAGGAGGTGAAAGGAGACAATTTTAGAGAAGAAAATTTTTTGGTCGCTACCCGGAATCGAACCCGGGACCTTGGAATGAGAGGCCAACACCTTAACCTCTGGGCCACGAGAGCCCCTCAACTGGTCTGTGGACAGCAAGTTTGAGACTCCTGGAGTAAAGGAAAGACTTAGAAGTGGTGTAAAACAGCTGTATGGCCATAAGTTTATTCAGATACAAACATAAAATGTCTATCGTGAGCTGTTAAGTGCACTACAATAGGACACACACAACAAAATGACTTTTTAAAATATTATTTATACTGAATTTGAGACAAATTGACACAAGACATTGTGCAAAAGTTGGAGCGTCTATGTTCCTCAGTTGAGGATATATTTTACACTAAGTTATGCGACAAATTTTTGAGAACACTTTTGAGCACTTGCGCTGATGGCGGATGGAAAAAAAACCCAGGATAGTAAAGGGCTTTCTTATTAGATCAAAGAAACGAGAGGCAAATCCCGATTGCCAATGTCCATTTCTGATCTCTGGCACTTAACTCTTTTTATCCTGGCCGTACCCCCGTGGATTCTGTACCCGTTCTGGAGCTGCCGTGCCGTATGAGTCGGAATTCAGGGTGTATATTTCAAAGTGCTCTATTTCTTATGTTTACTCTTAGGTTTTAAGGAAATTTGGCAGTTAAGTTAGAAATTGTATGCAGTTTTTGTAAATGTAAGTGGTTAGGAATTACACCAATTGCAGAATGTAAATTTTGAGGTGTATTCCACCCTCCAACTTGACCCTGATTGCCGCACACACGACGTCCCATTGGATTTTATAGATCTAGCCCTACCCAACGATACAGCATGAACACCAGTACTGACCCCTTCACCATGATCTGAATCGCGCTATTAGATGAGTCTAAGTCCTGTTTGTTATCATCCACAACGAAATTTACGGCACTTGATTCAGAGTCACTTTCATAAAATGAGTCTCATTCCCCTTCACAACCCAAGTGTACTTCAAAAAGTAATTCGTCAGTCCTGAATGTGCGTTTTCTAGACATCTTTCAAGCTTCTACACCCATCAAAAACAAACAAACCGCTGTTCATTGGAAAATTAAAATATTCAGACAGAGCTAGCATCGCCGTATTTGCATATTTTGGTAATTACAAGCAGAACTAGCTTCTTTGACGTGACCGTATTGCTGTTCCGAGTTTACTCGTAGCCCCGACTGGTCCTCTTTACGAGTACACTCGTAAAAAGAGTTAAATAATAAGAACGTTATCACCCGCCATGCCACTGGAGTCTAAATAAAAAAAGAACTAAAATATCCAGTACGAGAGTAGCAGAACAATCAGCTATCTTTTCTCCCACCTGTCTGGCCACTGTTGATCAACCCGTTGACAGAGTGGATCAGCTCCTTCACCTTCATCTGTATGTTGGTGGCGGCATCGCGGAAGTTCTTCTTGTCGGCTTGCTGCTCCGCCAGGAATTCTGTGATGGTGCGCGTCTGGGACTCGCTGGTCAGCTCCTGCTTCAGCTTCATGGTACTCTCCAAGATCAGGCTGTACCGGTCTATGGCTCTGGGAAGTGAAAAAAAAAAATGCCCGGATGCCATGAAAGGGTAGAGTCTCGATGAACCTGGCCTGCATCAAATATTCCACATGCAAGAAAGGTTTCTACAATTTAAAAATAACCACAACACAGAAATTACATTTAAAATTTGTCTGTAAACCCCACCTGAAGCTGTCATGAGCCTGAGCTATGGTAGCCCATAAGGACGCAGTGTTTTCTTTTAGGTATCAAGAAGCACATAAGTAAAACTTTCTTTGTAAATAGAATCATGAGCATTAAGTTATACTCACCCATCCTCCTTCCACCAACCCCATTTACAACTGCAGAGCTAATAGAAATACTCACTTGTATGTGATGTTCTTGACAGATTCTGTCAGAGCAACAGAATCAAATGTTGGCGGTTGCAGGGACACAATCGTGGCAGGTAAGGCCAGCTCCTTCAAGGAAATGTTGGCAAATCTGTAAAGGTAATGTGTATTATAAATTATTTGGGTTAGATCAGGCACAGTGATTTATGACACTGAAAACACTTTCCATGTCAACTAATTTTAAATACCCATATGGTCAACCATTGCTGAATGCTGTTATGTTAACTTTGCGAAAAATGTTCAATGAACCATTCACAGATCATCAAACTCCCTTCTCAATCCATTTATTCACAACCTCTATTTTCCCCAATTCAAAACACTTTTCAAGACTAACTGTAAAAACGTTTTTTCAAAAAGAATCAGCTGAACGAATATTCTTCCAAATTCAGGCAGGGAAAAGGCAATGGCAATTGCAATTGGTCTGGGAGAGGGGGGGGGGGGGGGGGGGGGGGGAAGAATTCACCTCAACCATAACTTAATATGTATATATTAAGTTGAATACTTTTCAACAGCAATTAAAGATTCGCATGAAAATAAATACTCATGGGAAATGAATAGTCATCTTGACAGCATAAGACTCTAAAAAGAAGTCATCATTAACCACTTATTCAGGTGTAGGACACCTCTACACAACACAACACAAATCTAGAAAAAGCTGTCGCTCACTTGAAAGAGGCTACGATGTTTCTGTGTCCAAAATACTGAAAGTGGTCGTGGTGAAGAGAGTGGGGACAGGGCTCCGCCGAGCCTCTCCGCAAAAATGAGGATGAGTTGAATCGAAGGTCAAGGTACTTGGCAAAGGACAAACTCCAAGTGTCCCCACTGATGGGCACAACGGGTGTAACCTGGCAGAAATTGAGAAACGAAATGCTGGTTTGAGAGTGACAAACTTACCATAATGAACAAGTGACAAATTTTCAAAATCATTTCATGGTCTTTGCGGCAGCTCAAGTCATTTGATTTTGTATGAGATATTGTTCTTGCCATTTGTTCTGACATTTTGTAGGCCAGCTGTTCAGATATACTACACCAAACATTCTGACTTCCGTTGAAAAAAAAAGCAAATAAAGAAACATGATTAGTGAACAACTTTGAAAAGATTAAAACACATTTTTTTCTTGCTCCTGAAAAATGTTGCATTCAGGGCTTAGGACAGTGAACAGTTTGCTGACGATTTGCTCATTTGTTCAAAGTTAGCTGGAGCTCTCACATGTAGGCTGACAAAAATAAGCATTCTGTTCCCCTTTGAGACTGGAAAGGAATGTTATTAGATGTTCCTTCCAGTGAATGCTGTCAGTATTTTTCTTATAATTCAAAAACTAAGGTTGAGCATCAAATGCCGATCTTCCATAATGAAGTACACTAAATTTGTCAAAGCCTGGAGCACTCATAAAATTTTGGGCATATAGAGTTATTAATATCACATTAAAGCTTGTTCATTTGACCAAAAAAAATACCCATCCATCTTGAACAGAAGTCACATATTGGTGATTGAAGGAGGCGGGGGTCACCAAATTTCAGCGAGAAAATGGCCGCCAAATTTGCATTATTTCCAAAGCTTGAAAGGCTTTGGAAACTGAAAACCTGCTATTTTTGTGCCTTTAATCAGTGTTTTTAAGTAAAATCCACACAGAAATGTGTTTTTAAACGGACATAAGAGGTGATGAGCCAAAAATTAGAGAAAAATTTTCCAACTGGCAGAAAAAAGCCAGTTTCTTCGATTTCGGTATTTGGACGAGCGCCTGATTTCACCATGATGTTTCACAGATGTGAATAAAAATAAAAGCCATGTTCTAGAATTGTTCATAAGATAAAGGTTGGAAATTGTAAGGAAAAACAATCGCTCAAATTTCCAGAATGACAATGTCAAAAACATTCTCTTTCAACAAAATACTAGATCTAGAAAGAATACTTAAGTGAGTTTACTAAAACAAGATTCACCATATCAAAAGAGGAAGTGATTTTCAAAAGCAGACCATTCTGAGAATTTTGGTGAAACAGGTTAAAATTTTACCCTCACAGCACGGTATAATTACCTCATCAAGAGAGAAGTCCCCATATCTAACAGGCCAACAGGTGGTATATTTCTCTACTGCTGGCCAAACTAAAAGATAACTAAGAATGCATTAACACAGCCAGGTAAATGACTCCCCTCCCACCAAGAGTCTATTTACAGTTTTACTGAGGCTCGACTCCCTCTAGCATATGTGAGACGTCATGGTGAAATTCGGCGCTCGTCAAAATAATATAATTAAAGTAATCGGCATTTCTCTGGCCTCTGGGCTGTTTTTTTTTCTAATTTTCTTTTTTTTGGGCTCAATACCTTTCATGTCTATTTAAAAATACACTGATGAGTGGATTTTACTTAAAAACAATGATTTAAGCACAAGAAATGTAAAATTACAATATTTCCAAAGACTCTCAAGCTTTGGAAGTCAAAAATCAGACCCCATCTCATTCAATCATAAATATCTCGACTTCTCTTCAAAATAAATGGGTATTCTTTTCATCAAAAGCACGACAAATGAACAAGCTTTAAGGTGATACTAATAACTCCAAATGCGCAAAAACTGACGAGCGCCTGATTCCATCACGTCGTGCCACATATGATATCCTCTTGACCCAACCCTCTTTGAAGGTATGACCTCTGACCTGCTTGCACTTGCGGCACCAGCTCCACATGAGGATGTTCTCCTTTCCACCGGGCACGTCACTCTCCAGCTTTTTTAGCAGCACGTTGATACACGCTGATCCATGCACAAACCGACGCACGTGTTCAGTCATGGGTGTGTCACATGTGGGAGAGGGGCACGAGTACTGCGGGCGGAAACAGAAGCGCTCCAGGAACCCACCCAGGGTGATGTCGTTACGTCCGTAGAACTCCATGGTAACCACCCTGGAGACATAATCAGCCAGTTATTTGAAGAAAATGTTTATAGATACAGCAAAAACAAAAATTAGAATGATGTGACTAAAGAGGAGTTATATTTGAAGGAAATAAACAATGAATAGCAAAAATTTAAGACTCAAGTGACTATCACTACTTAAGCACAAAAAAACAGAATATTTAAGACAGAAGTGATTATAGCAGTGGAATCCACAAGGTAAGAGATTAAGAGGAAAACCATGCGGAACCTGGAGAAGAGCCACAGAGACTGATGTTCAGATAAGGGGGAAGACATGGAATAATATCAAGAAGCTAGCTCAGGAAAGAGAAAGGTGGAAGGTTTTCGTGGTCTGTAGCCTGATGCAGAGTGAGAAAGGTGATGATGGTGATGATGATTACAATCGTACATAAAAATCTAAACATTAAGATTAACAAGACTATGCACATTTAAGCAAAATCTCAAACAGCAGGCACACAAGACTTCAATAAAACAGCTCTGTCAATCCAGGTCATTACAATTTCAGTAAAGTAAAGGACCTACAATTTAACAGCATATTAAACTCTCATCACTATCATTGATATTTTATTCCTACTGATAGCCATTTTAATGGACCATCATTAAGGTGTCTCTTTGAAAAAGACATTTGCAATACACATAGGACATATAAGTGAGAAGATTAGAAGTGTTGCTGAGAGTAACATACCAAAAAAAAAAAAAGAAAGAGAGAAAAGGACTAGAGATGTTTGATAGGAAAGAAGGAGCAAACGATACCAGAGTGTCTGCCAACCACCCACTAAGACACTTTAAGCCCAGCTGAAACATAACATAGCATTCTAAGAACAATAACATATTAAAAGCATACTCCCTAAAGCAAGATAGGGGTCAGGTCACTTACCATGGGTACACACAAGGATATGGGTGGTTACTTGACTTGAAGGAAAAACTGCTGAAAAGCACCATGAGACGCTGGTGATTCATGGGGTCCAAGCAGTCTAACTGCAGACGAGGTGGAGAGGACAGAAAAGAAAAAAATATCAATGTAGGTGTTTTATGAATCCACCAGCACAATTGACACCATTTAGGAAGCTGGCTTTTAAAAGCACTGCCTGTTGGAGCCAACCTGGATTACCTTTACCATTACAATACTGACTGCTACTACTGATAGTAATAACAGGATCAATATTAACAATACTACTATTGCTACTACTACTGTTTAGTTTTAGTAAAGTTTTACGGCACTTGAAACACATTAGGTGATATAAGTGCTGAAGATTAGAGGTGTTACAAGTGAGTAATAAAGCATAAGAAAGAGTAGGAGGAGAGATCAAGACGATAGTAATTAGATAGAAAAAGAGGAGCAAACCATACCAGAGCAACAACCAACCACCTACTACTACTAATGATGATGATGAAAATAATAACTATAATTGGTAGCATTTAGATATCACTTTCGTAATATCAGAGTGTTCAGAGTGCTGTACAACAAAAAAGTATATTCCAAGAAAAAAAAATATTCACCCATGGCAAACTCCAAAAATAAACATGAAACCTCTCTATATCTGTCTCAACCAGTCTTTGTTTTTGGTCTTTCTCAAAGACTCTCAAATTACAGAACAAAGAGAACCACAACTAAAAAATCACCAAACCATCTGTACAAACCACAGCTGAGACTAACACAAATCCGAGAGCACCAGTCGTAAAAGAAGAGACTATAGCTCTAAGAAAGTCCAGAAAATGGAGGGAGTAAAATACAACAAGGTAAGTGAGAGTATTGAAGACAAAGACTCATAAAACAAGACTATTTGTTTTACACCAACCTTCTTCTCCCACAAAGGCCCTCCACCAGAGAAATTGTCGGGGCCAAAAAGCTCATCCATCTTTTTTCCAGAGGCCTCCGTGATGGCCTGTTGTTGTCTGTGGTTGTTGTCATGCAGCACATTGATTCGTCCCCCACGAGCTCTGAAGTCTGCCAGGATTGACTGAAGCATGCACAGAACCAAAAGAATAAAAGGAACTACTAATCACAAAACTGCGGGAGCCCTATAGCTAAAAATCACAGTCATACCCCCCCCCCTCCTTTCTCATTTTTTTTGTCGACATCAATGGATTCATATATCAGGTGCATATATTATAAATATAACAAAAATACAAAGACGCTCTGAAGACTTCTTTGAAAGATTGTTCCATTGATGTAGATGAGTGGGAAACCTTCTGTTTTAATCGATCAGCAGCATAATGCCAGGACATGTGGCCGCAAGAGTTTTTTTTTTTTTAGAGAAAAACAGAGTTTGTAAAGCAGAGGCAGCCACAGAAGCAAAAAAATCAAGACAGTCAAATTCTGATACTGACATTGACCACGCAAACCACAAGTGGTCTGTTTGTGGATGATTCTTCTAAAAAAGAGTAGCGTTTGAAAGTCAGAAGCGAAGCCATACGAAGGACAAACTAACTAATCATATGTTTAGGCAGACAAGCGCACCATTTTAGTAAAAGGAAATGGAAAGGTAACGTTTAGAAAGTTGTTGCATTTGTGATCAGTACAAGTTTCTTGAGGGGGCTCTCACGGCCTAGAGGTTATAAGGTGTTGGCCTCTCATTCAAAGGTCTCGGGTTCGAATCCTGGTAGTGACGGAAACATTTTCTTCTCTAAAATTGTCCTTTTTCACCTCCTTTCCTGCTCTCTAGCAATGTTCTGTCGTCTGCTTTCATCTCCACTTTCTGACCCCACCCCCCTCACCTCCTTTGCCCCCTCCTCTGGGCTCCAGACTCTTTCTGCAGCTTTTCTACTGCTGCTCCTTGGCTCCTTTTTGCTGCTGTCTTTCAGCCCCACCCCTGATCTTCTGGTAGATAAGATCTACACCTAGCCTTCTCGGACAAGGGTGAAAAATCTCAGATGTCCCAGGTGCAAGTTGCCCACATTAAAGATCCCTTGATGGTCTAAAATCGATAAGAGTAGGCTTCCGCCACTACATGGGTAAAAATTCGAAATTTCCTACCAACTGAAAATGTTTAATATGACGCGTGCGCTCATATGACCATATGCAGTTGTGAGTGCTGTAATACACCTACCAAAACAAACAAACTAAATAAATTGCTGGTTATTATTTCCTTCCCTTTCTCAACTATTTGCAGGCTCTCTGTAAAACAAATTACCCTTATGATGTTGAAATGGGTGTTAAACCCATAATGATTACCATAACAATTGAGACAAAGGAAATTAAGGACGTTCAAAAGGTAGTTGGCCAAAATGGACATTGTGACTAATCATTGTCACTTCTGACACTCAGCCAACAATTTGTTAAGGCATATCTTGACCTATACAATGCAAGGAAAAGAAGATTTTAAAAAACAAAAAAAACACACGCAAACTTCTTCTCACCTGTATGCTGTTCTCCCAGATGGGCTCTGTCAGGTTACTGGTAATGAAGGCATGTGAGTCCATGATCTGAATGTTACTTTTGCTTGACAGTTTTGAGGAGGAATCGGAGTCAAGCAATTTGACCTTGCCAGACCGCTGACCACCCTCACCGTCGAAAAGACTTGACCAGAAAATCTCCTCTGGCAAAAACTTCCGGACGGCACATCTTGCACCTTTATCTGTTTGGATAAAAGGAACTGTGTACTTGTGGTACGGAGATACAGAAAGGTGCACACCATCTAAAGCTTTCCGGAAACGTTTGTATTGTGTCTGCTTAATCTCCTTCAAAGATATCTTTTGGGTGTTGGTCGAGCTGAAAATAGACTCATCCTGTGTATTTTGGTATCCAAGCAAAGGATCACTGAAGTCAGTCAGTTCGGTGAGTTTGGACGTGCTAGGCCTGGAGAGAGTGACTGCAGGTTTTCCAGACCCTTGTGAAGAATCCTGATCAGCAGAACCCATGTTCTCTTTATCGACAGAGTCGGTGCTTTTCAGTACTTTAGTTCTAAAGCTGGGAGAAAAGTCTGATTTCCCAACAGCTTTAGCAAAGCTGGAGGAAAAAACATCGGTAGAGCCTTTAGTTTTATTATCTTCTTGTGAAAGTATGTCCGATCCACTGTTATGCTTTTTTCTCTCTGAGGTCTCGGCTGTTTTCTCTGTAGAGGCTGCGCTGAACGGAATAGCAGAAGGAGGAATGATACACACAATGTTCCCAATGAGTTTGGGGCTGCCGTTCCAAATACTGTCCTCCGTGTTGGTTTTCAAAGCTAGCTCCGGGGTGCTACGCCCAGATATTGAGTCACACACATGGCTACTGGAGCAACCCGACAGTCCGCTGTTGTGACGTGATTTTGTCTCAACACTTTGACCTGATAGCAGCGGGGCAGTGGTCAGGTACTCCATGGCTTGTGGTGCACTCATCTCTGCCAAACTGGCAACTTGTGCAGACCCTGTAATACAACATACAAGTTTTAATGATAAAAAAAGATAGTATATTTGTATAGCACAAATTCAAATAGCAAGCTCTATACGATTTACAATCTATATTATGACCCCAGTAGAAATCTCAACTTCCTGGGAAGCATACAGTGCCATTTTAGAGGTTCTAAAACACTAACAAACTGGCATAAGTATAACATAAGTAAATTGACAAAATACAGTATACCTTTTCCATGCTGAGAGTGGGCATGAAAATGGGTTTATGTTCTCACCAGATCAATAGGTTTTTTCCCATCTTTCATAAAAGGGAAGGCGGGGCCCAGCACTTACTCCCCTCGGGTCATCATCATCATCCAGTGCCAGATCTGCGACAGACATCGGCGATCATGGTTTTCCATTCAATTCCTTTGCTCGGATGCTCTCAAAAAAGCTACGTTTCCCTGATCTTTCCCTGTTACCCATTTGTTTAGGTTCCCTAAGTATGTTGTTCTGGGTCTACCCCTACCTCGCTTGCCCTCAATTTTTCCAGTGAGAGTTAGATGTTCAAGACCCTTATGTCTATTCAGGTGTCCCAAAAACAGCATTTGTCGTTTCCTGATTGTTTTTAACATTGAGCGTCCCATGTGGGCTTCATCAAGCACTACCTCCTTTGATTTCTTTTCCTTCCATGATACTCTTACTTAGCAGTCTCCTAAGAAACCACATTTCTGTTGCTTCTATTTTATTTTCACTGTCTTTAGTGATTGTCCAGCATTCACAGCCATATAGAAGGTATGGGTAAGGAGTAAAAAATGAGTTCTAATTTGCAAATTGTACAAAGTAAAAAGAACTTTGTGGTCAAAGACCAAGAAAAGTAGGCCTGGAAATGAAGGCTTTTAGAGAGTGCAAATAAATCTGCTTGTGGTACTTAGAAGAAAATATTGGTCCCAAACTATGCAGGGAGACCCAAAACTCAGCAGGAGCCTGACAAACCTGTGGCAAAAAACAGCCTACATACTACAGACATTCATTTGAAGATGAATGAGAAGAAAAAAAAATTCAACAAATCACCTGAAGAGGAGCTCCGCGCTTTTGACTGTTCGTTCTTCTCACCGGCCAAAGTCTCTTCAGAATCTGTTTGAGCTGACTTTTTGGACGTCATGGGAGATGTGTCCGAGTCCTCAGTCCCAGGCACTGAACAGGCCACATCCTTAACCACCGTCACCTTTGATCCCTCATGTACTTGCCTATGTACCTCTGGCTCCCTGCATTGGCCCTCGCCTTCGCCTATCTCCTCCTCCTGATTCACTGGGTCAGAGGTCACAGTGGGTACATCGGCGTCTGGGCTGCCACCTGTCCATTGTCCCCCTCCAGGCTTTTCAGATTTCTCTGCATCACCCTCCTCTTTTGGCTCACCGAGCTGGGCAAAGTCTGAAGAAAGGTCAGTCAATACGGAGTAATCTACAGATGAAGAATCAACATCTTTGTCCTTGGTGGTGTAGTTCAGTCCTCCATCTTTGCTTCCATTGACGACATCATTGTTAATGTCGACTATCTCAATGTCACACTCAGTGTCTTCCTCTAGGTGGAACTCCACATGTGAGTCAGGGTCCTTCGGGTTTACAACTGCCATTTCTTCTGACTTGATGCTGACGATGCAAAAGGAAATTTAAAAAGTCAAATTTCTTTTTCATTTCCTCAAATTCATCCACACATGAATCTATGTCTACACCCAAAAAAATGTTGTCTGTAGTTTCATCCTCTCCTGAATAAGTAATTCACACCCAAAACAAATTTATTAACTTCGAAAGGAAGACTATTTACTCAGAATTGAGGCTGATCATCCCAATGCAAGATCATGCTGACAAAAAGTGTACTCTAAAGCAATCACTCCATACGTGACGTCGTTCTCCTCAAAAGCTCTCAGTCACCCCCAAAGTAACCTCAGTTACGTGGAGATTCAAGTTATATCAGGCCAGTATAATAACATCCACATTTTGTCAAAAACAGATTGGGATACCAGTAACAAGGACATTTTTAAAAAAGATGAATAATCCACATTAGAATGGGCACATCCAATCATTAACAACTCCTTAAGCTCAAGAAGAACAACTCATTAGTGTAACAAAAACTTGAATCTGTAACTTTTCAAGTTTTATGAGATGATGCTGATGATCTGCACTTTTATTTGTCACCCTGACTAAAAAGATACCCCCTCAAAACAGCCTATTCAGGAACTAAGATTTTTAAAAAAAGCTTTCCCATTCCTTGTATATCAAGTAAGAAGCAATCGAAACTCAAACCTGTGCGGGTCAAAATGGCATTAAGTGAAAGTAAAAAGATACAAAACAAGAGCTGAGGAACAAACAAAGGCGAACTATCCCTAACCACTACTGACCCGACACAATTTGAACAAATGAACAGGGAGACTGCTGTAGTTTGTATGATAAACACAACTTCTCAACTACTTTGATGATATTGGGGATAGTAATTTCATTAGAATAACAAAAGCAGCATAAATCGCAAAGGCAAAATAACAATGTCTAGGCAACTGACAAATAGAGACAGAAAAATATTTTTAAAAACTCAGGGAAATCAGGAGGGTATGTGGAGAACACTTGACTGAGAAAGATCAAAGTAAGAGAATGTGAAAGGGAAAGATGAAATCAACATGTTTAGTTTTAGTAGAGGTTTTACGGTGCTCGCAACTGCATAAGGTCATATGAGCGCGAGAAGATTAGAGGTGTTACAAGAGAGTAGCAAACATAAAAAAGAAGAAGAGGAGATAAGGACTATAGATGTTTGATAGGAAAGAAGAAGCAAACCACACCAGAGCACCCACAAATCAATATGTAAGATGAAGAAAAAAAAATGTTTTAAACAATAAACACATTTAGAAAATTGTTCTTAGGATAAAAATGGAAGTATTTTTACCAAAATCTTTTTGAAAACAATATTTCAAGTGAATACTAAAACACAAAGGTTTATTATAAACTCTTTTTTATACATTCATCACCATTGAGGGTGGTTGGCAGGTGCTCTGGTGTGGTTTCTTCTTCTACCCTATCAAACACCTATCATCTTTATCTCCCCTTCTTTTTTGTGTTTGCTACTCTCTTGTAACACCTCTAATCTTCGGCACTTATATGACCTTATTGTGTAGCAAGTTCCGTACAACATTTACTAAAACAAAACAAAATTCAGCAGCACAAGATCTCAAAAGTGGATTTTATTAAATACTCGATTTACACACGATAAAAATTGAAACTAGAATTGCCCACAAGATCACTGTCCTTGATCTTGGTATTAAAGCAAGCTCATTCAAAGGTATATTCCACCAAGATGTCTAGGATCAAGCTATCAGTCTCTTAGGAGAGCACCAAAAAAGGGAGGTAAAACACTCTTTTCTTCATAAATTTATATAAAATACTTGAAACCCCTGTTACACGTAAAATGGTATAGTCCACAGCACTTCCTGGTTCTCACACACATTTTGATTACGCACATGGCATACGTCACAGCTCATCAATGACAACTTTTACTGGCAAAACTTGTTATAAGAAATTATTTTTATAGTGAACACATTTTTGCACTAATGGTGTTCAAAACAAAAACATGATGGATGTGCTATTAAAAGCAATATTGCCCCAGCAGTAAACATTTTAAAATCTGTAGAAACCACGCACTTAGATTTTTTTATTAGTATTTATTAAGGAATTTTCTAGAATACAGCTAGCAGGTGTTTGCAAAAATGTTGATCTGTTAAGACAAATTGATACAAGTCATTGTGGAAAAATTGGAGAACCTATGTTAGATAGTTGAGGCGATATTTGACAATAAGTCGCGCCACTAATTTTTTATCGCACTATAGGTATTATTTAAAGGCTCAAAATAATTTTTAAAACAATAACTGCTGAGTGTGGCATATATAAAAGAAAATAAATACATTTTGATAATAACTTTTTAAAGATTAAAAAATACTACTCCAGACTAGTTCGGACACTTCTAGTAAGTGACATCAAAGCAATGTGTATCTATTTCAAGAATGAAATCCATACACTTTAAAATATTGTAGAGGAGAAAGAGCAATGCTAAATATTTTGTGGGGCATCATTGTGAAATCAGGTGTTCGTCAAAATAATGAAATCAAAGAAAAGGACATTTTTCTGATGGTTTGGCAATTTTTATTGATTTTTTGTTTTTTGGCTCAACACATTTAATGTTTATTCGAAAACACATTTCCGTGTGGATTTTACTGAAAAACATTAATTAAAAGCACACAAAAAATGTGAGCTTTCAGTTTCAATCGACTCTTAAACCATGGAAGCCATTTTTCCCTAATTTTACTTCTGGAATGAGGCAATCCCGATCTCTTTCAATCGCAAATATTTGAATTTCCATTTAAGATAGATGAATTTTTTTTTTTCATCAGATGCAAAGTAATGAAACGGCTTTAATATGATATCAATAACTTCATATGCCCTAAAATTGACAAGCGCCTGATTCCACTGCCTCACGACACATGGATCTATATTAATATAATACAGGGAAAAAAAGGGGTTAGGAAAAAAGAAGAGAGAAATGATAAAGAATAAAGTAATATTTTACGCTCGGAGTGTCCAATCAAACTTTGAAGCTGATGCACTGCTTTGAGAGACAAATAAATGAAGAACATTCATACATGCATTGGTGGTTCATACGTCACAGTAAAACTACTTATAATATACAATAGTTAAATATAAATAAAACATAAGAACAATAAGAACACAGCACATATAACAATGTTCTTCATCCAAGCTGTAAACAGAATATAAATATGTGAGGCATCAGGACGAAATCAGGTGCTCATCTTTTTCACCTGATTTGGCAAATTTGATCACGTTTGTGTTTTTCGGCTCAACACCTTTTAATTCTATTTAGGGAGGGGGCTGGTTTATAAACCTATCTCTGTAACTATGACTTTTCAGATAAAGCCTTATAGCAAGGAGGTATAACAGGAAAACATCTCCAAAATGTAACTTTAATTTGTTTGTTTAAGTCTACAGTTACCATGATAACGGCGGCCAAATTGAAAATAAAGAACTTTCATAAAATAAAAAGGATTTTTTATTTACAAACCAAATTTGTTTCAATTAAATACATTGATAGACTCAATACAACACTTTATACAGTTTGGATCTTGGATATATTGAATAGAAAAAAAATAGAAGATGGATAAATGACCTACCCCTTCATGCCTCTGAATCTGATTACATAATCATCCATGTAAACTTAGTTATGAAAGCATTGTTTTGCTTTTCTACTTGTATAAAGATAGATATGGTGTGAATAACAAGCCCTGAAAATTTCATTGGAATCAAATAGAAAACAAAAAAAAGTAGATGAGAAAAATCTATCAAAAATTGAAGTTTTGAGAAAAACAAGACTTTGTTACATAATAGGCAAAATGAAAGTTCAAGGACAGAAAATCTGATAAATGTTTATTGTAAACACAAAGAGTAAGAAATTTTTAGATTTATAAGTGGATGAAGTATTATAATACATAAAAAAGACTAGACACCATAAATTGACCCAAAACCACCAATTTTCAAACCAGCCCCTCCCCTTAAAGAAAACACTTCGGTATAGACATTACTGAAAAACATTGATGAAAGGCACAGAAAAACGTAAATTTCCAGTTTCCAAAGATTCTCAAGCTAAGGAAATGCAGATGCTAACTAAAAGTATTGAAAGTATGAAATGCCAACTATAACAGCTACCAAAGTGACAGGTATTTCTTGAAAAAACAGCAGACATGAGACAAGACATGCCAACTATAACAGCTACCAAAGTGACAGGTATTTCTTGAAAAAACAGCAGACATGAGACAAGACAAAGTTAAAAGTGGGCGGTGTAAGAAACACAAATGGTAAAAGCTCCCACATTTGAAGTGCAAACATCTAGTGAAGCTTGGAAGGTTTGTAAGTGTTCTACGGTCTGCTGGGGTAAAAACAGTTGTAAAATGCATTGCACATGCTGTAGAGCGTGGATATGAGCTATATAAAAGCAATTATAATTATCATTATTATGTAAAGTATAAACAGTAAAAGCATCAGATAAGTTAAGTAGTAACAATAAAAGCTGGCAATTTGAGAAATGCTGACAGCAAAAGATATTAATAAAGAAGTGTTAACAGTTAAAGATAGTTGACGAGATGTTGGTGATTATTAGTAAAAGCTGTCTATATCCAGTGGTGATCAAAGCAGCCAACACGAAAAATTATCAAAGTAAAAGTAACACCAAAATGAAAAGCGCTGACAGAAAAAAATTAAAAGCTTCCACCACAACATTGTCTCTCTGCTTATCTGAGTCAGGCAATCACAGCCAGGGCAAACGCATAGAATAATAATCAATATTAGACCACTTTATTCAAAGATAAATGTTTCTACATGGTGTGGGTTTTCTTCCTCACCTGTCCCCAAAATGATCTCCAGAGTGCTCCTGGGAACTTTCCAGACTCTCAAACGGTTGTCCAATCTCATCAGCCCCTGGCTGTGGCAAAGCAAACTCGTCCATGCAGAAGCATAGCTCCAGCAGGGAGTTGTATGAGGCGTAAGTCATGAACTTGAGAATGTGTTTCACCTGTGCAATGATGCCATAAAAGAAATGTTGTTCTTTTCTTTGACAGAGTTAAATGCACTAAAAAAACCACCCAAACACACACACAAAAAAAGAGATTATTTCCAAGGGTCTTGGGTTTTCATTAAGAGTGCACAAACTTCTGTCAAGAACATATATACTTGTTTATATTACAAGCAATTTAAAAATAAATATGACCCAAAAGTATACCCCTCCCTCCCTCCCTCCCCCACTGGATTATTTATGCAACATACTGCCAGGATCAGGCTCAACAAAGGGGGAGTGATGCCAAATAGGATTTTCCATTGAACAATTTCCAATGTTTTGTACATTTGACTGCTGGTGGGTTGTTTTCCTTTGACTACACGCATTTTCACGTCATGCAAGCGAGTGCAAAGAGGAAGACAGAAGGGTACACGTCCAACTTTAAGCTGGCTAGTACCTGATTTCAATAACGTTGAGCCCCCTCCAACATGTCAGAAATTCACACTGTGTTGAAGGTGTAATCTACATAAATGGGCCAATTATGGAGTCAATGTGTACTCCAAATATTAATATTGGGAATATATTATCAAGATAGAAAAGTTTGATTCTTAACTCTCCATCTCCAAGGGGGATATGCCCACTATGCCGGGGCCCTCTTTAGGTACAAAATCTCAATGCGACAAATACGACACTAACTTGATCATTAAATAAGAAATCAAGTAAACCTATTTTGATAGTTCTTCATCTTAGGGATGAACTCCCAGTAAAAGAGACCATAACAAATATTACACCCTAACTCGTCCGGGACCGCCCAGGAATTCCCTTACGCGCTCCACCCTGACTCGCCCGGAACCGCCCGCGCCGACCTAGCGAGCGTCTTTAGAAACGAAGTCTCGCCTTGACGGGACTCTGGCGCCGAGATTTTGATTAACATAGTTATTGCAAAAAGTTTCTTCTTTCGTTTGGTATGGAAACGAAATTTTTCGGGCCAGTAGTTTTAGTATTAGAGCCGATAGAAAAGCGATCGCGTAACCGACACTAGGTGTCTCGATGTGTTGAAAAGCAACACAATTGAGTTCGAAAAAGGAAATAACGATGGATTTGAACAAAAACAAGCATATGACAAATCAGATGACTCCGAATTTGATGAAAACGTTGTTGCAAGAGTTTGGGGTGATTCAGATTGATCAGACGTAGAAAATCAAGAATTTAGATCTAGGATCCAACCGCGAGGCTGAGAGTGAGAGTGACGGGTCGGACACCCCGAATGAACTAAAGTTAGAACGTTTCCAACAGTTTGCGCATACATTAAGTTTAATTTTTCTGAAACTACATTTATTGTTCGTTTTAACTTTTATTTTTTCAGGATTTCTGGAATTTGTTTAGTATTTTTAAAAGGAAAGCACTATTCCCAGGCCCAGAAACCACTGGCAATAGGGTCTAGGGCAGAATTGTTCCCAGTGTCACTGGGAAAAGGTCCAGAAACTATTCCCAGTGACACTGAGAACAGACAGGCCCATTAGATCTATTGTTCCCATACTCATCTACATGGGCATGATGGAGATGGGTTACTAAATACTAGATAATATCTAATGTAGATTTAGATTCTAGATACTAGTTCTAGATCTAGATCTAACTAAACTAAAGTAGATTCTAGAGTGAGTGGCAGAATTTTTTTTAAAAGAAAAAGGAATGATCATTCGATGCTTGCTTAAGTCGAAATTTATGTACATGTAGATCTAGATCTGCATACAGATTTTGGAGACCACCGTACAGGACAGGTAGAAATCTTTCCTGATTCTTCTTTCTTCTCTAGATCTAGATCTTGATCTATTCTACGGTCAAGTCTAGGCCCTAAGTAAGAAAAGAGAACAAAAGTACTGAACTGAAGTGAGAAGAGCGTTTACAGTGCAAAGACTTCTGATTTTTTAATGTAAAAGAGTTCCGTTGTCACTGGGAATAGTTTCTGTACCTATCCTCAGTGTCACTGGGAACAGTCACTTCGTTTTTAAAATGTGTTTTTTTAAAGGCTTGTATTCACGGGAGGTGGGTTCCTTCCCCTCGCTTAGGATCTAATAATGGACTTCCTGTCCAGGCCCTTAGGGTGTAATGTGTTAATAAGGCAACTGCCAAAACGTGATTTGACGTTGAAGGCATAGTGAAAGAATGTGCCCGAGGAGTGCATGCCAGCACAGCGGTTCAGACCGCAAGTCGCTAGGAGCAGCTTGCCGGAGGTAAGACGTTAAATAAACAAATGCCCAAGCAAAGAGGGTAAATCCTTGTTTGTAAGTCTGTATAATAATGTGTGGCTTTAATGCCTCTTCTAACACCTAAGCACACATATTTCAAAGGCGGAAGGTACATTCATTACAACTGATAAAATGGCTCCTGGAAAAAAGAGAGATACTAAAGAAAACTAGACAAAGGAAAGCAAAGGGGAAAAAAAATCAAAGAAGAGTGCTTAAAATATAAAAACTATCTCCTTTTAAGACGATGATTTCTCCAAAGTGATTACACGCAGAAGGAATACAAATTCAGCATCACAATGAACGTCTAAAAGACTACAATTCTAGTCCATTCGTTCAACTTATAAAAAATTTACACAGGAAAAGGGGAAAGAAATATTACAGTCTTTGGTCTTTGGGACCTTGAAACATCTCAAATGCAATAAGGACCACAGACACTTCGACGACAAATCTAAACCTCCACAATCAAAGTGGCCAAGCGGATGTATTAAAGAGATAATTATGTTCCACGGCACCGAATGCATACCCTTCTCAATTCATTGAGGGTCCCTCCTCTCAGCACAATGGTACAACCGAGATGAGTGGCACAACCATCAAAGATAGCTAACGTCTTTGTCTCTTCTGAAAGAAAACAAACATGAATGGAAATTGAAAACTGAGCAATCAGCAAGAGCCTCTGGTTGTTTTAAAAGAGTCAGAGTAAATTTTAAAAAAAAAAAAAATATGACATTTCAACGGTGAAAAGAGCATTCACATTAACATAATAACCATTTTCAGTGCAAGGACAAAGCAAGATGTATGGTCAGAAACAACTGAGGGAAAAGAAGAAGCAAGACCTACATGTGGTGCTCTCGGAAGAAATAATAATGACAATAATGGGAATTTATACAGCGCTTGATTCCCAGAAGGCTCTCGGTGCTGAACAATGCAGAAATAGCGAGAATGAGGAGAGCAACAAAGTCAAAGTGGTGACCCCTTCACTGGATCCAAGAATGAGAAGGGTAGCTGTTTATCACCAGTAGTTTCCAAGCATTCTTTTACAAATATTTTTTTCTCACGATTTCCTTTATTTTTCTCACTCAATCACTCACTTTCTTATTCATTCACTCTCTCACCAATGCATCTATTCTCTCATAGATCGTTGAGAAAAAAATGCATCAGTTTTTAAGGTAACTTGACAGAAAAGAAGGTGTATAGATTGTTGCCATCTCATGTGAAAATATTATTTCAAATCACAATAAAATTGTTGATTTTGTGCTCACTTTCACCTTAAAACCCTCATGGTATGAAATACAAAACAACAGAATCACATCAAATAAAATGGTTCAAACAAAAACCAACATACCTTATTAACTCATTCGGGACGCAGGTTTTGGACCGGATTTGCACCGGGAGACGCATAATTTTGGGTCAACTTTGAAAGTCTGCCATTTTTTCCCCTTTTTGATATTTTAAAGTCTGTTTTCACTATCTACACATTCAACGTTTGGTTTTTGTCTTAGATCTAACCCAATTTGCCTGGATATAATTCCTAAACTGCCAGGACCCCTACAAAAGTGGTGTATGAGACATAAAAAAAATATTATTTCCTCTAAGTTGACAGTGAAGAAATGCAGAAACAAACAAGATAAAGTTACAATACAACTATAACGCAGCTAAAACCACATCACAACACTATCTACAGTCCAAATAGCGTGAAGAAATAGTTTCAGTCATTGTGAATAGTCATTCTTTGTATGGTACTCCTCAAAGATACGTGTTCTTTGTCGCCCCGACTGCCTTCATAAATCGCCACAGAAAATTACAAAAAACGAAGCTATACGGTCAAAACTAAAGAAATACAGAATAAAATATGGCTTAGCTATGTCAACCAAAAGTTTGTTCCCTGGAATACCTTCATTTGCGCGGATACAACGGTAGAGAAATGCTGTCAGACGTATACGTCCGATGCATCTCCAGCGGAGCTTGACGCTATCGGAACGTCTGATGCGTCCCGAATGAGCTAAGGAACATAAATAATGGACAAAACCCCCTCACTCCACCCCCCCCCCCCCCAACCAAAAGAAACAGAATTTTTCAAAAACCCAATACATACTGTTGGGCATGGTGTAAGTATGGACTCGGAAGTCGTGGCAGAATCCCATGTTTGGTTTACTGACCAACCCATCAATGGATGGCACAATATGAGCCTGGGTGAACCGGGCAAGGCGCTCCATCACACTCTGCCACAAGGAGAAAGACATTTTTTTCATTAGAACCATACACAGCTCATCAAAACAGCAAAGAAAATGACCCTTGGGTCTATAACACAAAACATTCAGAGACACCCGAATAGTTCTTAGATTGGCACACACAGAAATTTTACAAGTAGAAAACCAGTCGAAATTATAGTTAAATAGAAGGGTAGTATGAGCTGGCATAATCATTTAAAAATTCAGTTTTCATCCAAATGTATGATTCGTTCTCTCATCAATATATTACACATTTAATACTCCATACATTTTGACAGATTCAAGTGAACATAATAAAGTGAAAGAGAAATCAGTCTTTTATGTGAAACATTTTCACACGTAAATAAACAAAGCAAAATATGAGATGTCTATACATAGATTTTTTTGTCTACATTACTGTAAATGTAATGCATTCATTGACACTATTCAGATCATCTACAAAGCTGGCTTCTTCAACTCTTTGTATCAGGGCCAGTCCAGACCAAGTGGGATACAGTATCCCAGAAGGAGAGGCCCATTGAAATAAACTACTTCCCTCAGCAAAAACCCAACAAAGATCTTCTCTTAAGAGCCCAACCATTACACCACAGATGCCAGTAGAGAAACAACAGAAATGTAATAAATAAGAAAAATTTAAGAATACACCCTATGGCACTCCCTCATGGCAGTAACTCAGTCTTTCAGTTGGTAGTTAGAGGATGCTCAGAAGTGGTTTGCTCCTTCTTTCCTAACAATCAACTATCGTCCTCATGTCTCCTCCTTTTTTTTTGTAACTCTCTAATAACACTTCTGATCTTCTACACTTGTATGACCCATTTGTGTTGCAAGTGCCGTAAAACTCTTACTAAAACAAAACTCAGTCATTCAAGTAAAAGCTCCAGACTGACCAGCTTCACGTTGTAGAGAAGTGTGATGCCAGCCTCCAGCAAGAACTCCTGGGCTAGCCGAGACACGGACTTCTCCACCACAACCACGTTGGGCCGGTAAGCGATCATCTTCATCACACAGTTCTTCATGAACTCTCGCTCCTGAAAAGAGAAGTCACATTAAATATAATAACAGCTTTCAAGGCAAGGAGAAAGCAAAATGCAGGGTAAGAAACAACTGAGGGGAAAAAAGCGAGACTCACAAGTGGCACCCAAGGCAGAAGTAATAAATATAACAATAATGAGAATTTATATTGCACCTAATCCCTAGAAGGCTCTAAGCTCTGTACAAAGCAGAAATAGTGAGAAAGTGGAGTGCGCCCACACTTCAATACAAGACACAATTACATGAAATGTAGTTTTCAAAAAAGTTCTTGAAAACAAAAGATCTATAGATGTACACAAGACACCATCACTGAATCATTAAATTCCAGAAAATTTTACTCATGTTGGACCCTTGCTTTTCAAGTGTAAAAACGAAAACACCCTCATTTTAGGATGGTGGGGGGGGGGGGGGGGGGGGGGGGAGGGGGTGTGTGCGCTCCTAAACAATCATTATCTCAGAGGATGCAATTGTGTGACAAATTAATTGAAGTTTATAAAGGCACATTTTTACATTTTAGAAAAGGAGAAAACTCAAGTGACTCGTATAAACTTGTACATCCACATACCAAAATAAAAAGACTTTGCATCTACAGAGTTACAAGTGGCAACCAATCTCTTTCCTCACCTGCAGGATTTGAGGCTCTAAAGAAGAGAATTTATTTTCCACTCTCTGAAACTCAATGGTGCCACGGAGGAGAAGGATGAGCGGGTTCACAATTTTGGTTTTCATTTTCTTGTGGGCAATGTTCTTGGTGAAGATCACGCCGTGGAACATTGATGTGTCACTTTTATGGCCTCCAGGCACCTTGGGACATAGCAAGGACATACTTTTTGCACATCAAAGTCATAAATATTTCTACATGGAAGTAGTACTCACGTTTAAAGAAAACCATAAACGTCAAAGAAAAAAAATAGTTTTGATCAGGTCTCTTAATTTCACCCTGGTTTTATCCATGAAATTTGAAAACAAACACTAAAGATAATAAACTACTGAAATCTATATCAGTAAAATAACAATAAGGTCAAGTCAAATTCCACAAAAGCAATTAATTATGATTTGCATCCAATTCCACAGCAAATGGCAACACCTGCATTGCAACATTTCTTATCGTTCAGAAAATGAACCCATGTGTTCTCCACATTAATCAGGAACAATCTGATCCTTTTGAAATCATGTACATCTTTGTACAGCTAAAGCTTCACACATTGATGACTGAAGAAAGGAGCAAGGGTACCCACCTTCTTGATGTGGACATAGTGCCTAATATCCATGTCATCACCTTCCAACCGGATGTCTGGCCGCACAAAATGACTCACCTGAGGAACAAGAAGAAACACGAGAGACCTTTAGAAAGAAAAACATTTAGCCATTTTCTCAGGCTTTCAGTTTCAGTAAAAAAGACATGCATTGACACAATAAACATTCCTTAGATTAGTAAAATTAAGAGTGACAAGACAGAAACAATAGATAGCAATAAACGAAAAAACCCAACAAAGGCACAACCAACGGCACACTCGATCCACTGGTTCGGAGGCTTTAGAACATTCACAAAACTTTTTTGTGGCAGTGAAAAGCTGTTTGATCTCTTATGGCGGTACAAAACACACGACAATCTGTGCTCAAATATACACTAGAGATACCTAAATAGAGAGAGAGAGAGAGAGAGAGAGAGAGAGAGAGAGAGAGAGACAGAGAGAGAGAGAGAGAGATTACTTTTTGGATAGACAGCAATAAAAAGAGAAAGGCATACAAACAGACAGACAGACAGACAAGACCCAATACTCTGTGTACAAAACAAACCTATATATATATACGAAGAAGACTTTGAGTAAGGGGGAAGCACATCGATAATGGCCATTTAGAGCAGGGGAAAGGGTGATAATAGACAGACAGAAACAACTAGGAAAGAAAAGATGTAGGACCTATAAGTGGCACCACCGCATCACTGGCCATCTATAAGAGTAAGTGTGGGTGGTTGACAGGTGCTCTGGTGTGGTTTGCACGTTCTTTCCTATCAAACATCTATCATCCTTAATACCTTTGTATGTCACTCTCTAGTAACATTTCTAATCACTGGTGTTACTGCCAGCACCTACCAACCACCCACATTTTCTTACCCTATGTTTAGTTTCAGCTTAGCAAGGAGTTTTCCGGCACTGGTAACACCTCTAATCCTAGGCATTTATACTAATTATTTGACTTGTAAGTGCTGTAAAATTCTTTCTAAAACACTTGTAACATCTCTAATCCTTAGCATTTATACTAATTATTTGACTTGTAAGTGCTGTAAAATTCTTTCTAAAACACTTGTAACATCTCTAATCCTTAGCATTTATACTAATTATTTGACTTGTAAGTGCTGTAAAATTCTTTCT